CATGTTGTTTTTAAATGTCGTCGAGTTGGTTCCAACTCATAGCAACTCTGTATAGGGTTTCTGAGGTTTTAAATCTTCGTGGGTGCAAAAACCTTGCTCTTTCTCCCATGGAGTGGCTTTAGTAACAATGAAAAACCCCCAAGCACCAAATCAACTGTCATCAAGTTGATTCTGACTCATAGCAAGGCTGTATAGGGCTTCCAAGACTGTAAATCTTTGCAGAAGCAGACTGCCTCATCGTTTTCTGTTGGAGCTGCTGGTGGGTTTGGACCACCAACCATGTGGCTAGCAGGCTAGTGCTTTTCCTATAACAGTAAAAATATATTATCATTCACCCTTCTTAACATGGGGGAAACCAAGACTTAGAAAGGTTAGGCAATTTGCACAATGACCTTCAGTACATCATAAACTCAAGCTGTAAAGTTCAATCTCCAAACCGACTGTTTTCACTAGGGCAGTAGTTGTAGTCTGTGTTCTACAAAACCTAAAAGGTGCTTCATGGGCTCCTAACATTCCATTTCAATTTTGGAAAAAAAAAGTTCTTGACTATTTTTAAACTAGTAACCAAAACAACACTTAAAAATTCTATAACACGCTAGCATCAATATATTAACCTTTATTGCCGGGTTCATCAAGTTTTATGCAGATCTCAGAACATAGCCTCTCCTACCAACTCAGTCTAAAGGTTGGAGGCTTAAGGTCACCCTGAGGCATCTCAGAAGACTAGACCTGACGATCTACTTCCGAAAAATCTGCTCTTGAAAATCATTTGGAGCACAGTGCTGCTTTGATACACAGGGATCATCATGAGTCAGCATCAACTGCAAGTAAGACATAGGCCTGAACTTTTTGGTAATTGTAACATGATTAGGAAGACAAATCACAGTTGTATTTTGTTTGAGGGAAGGCAGTTCATTCTGATATGTGAATATTCATGCAAGTGAAATGGTATAAGCAGAGACATTACTAAAGCAAATCGATGCTGCATTCACATGCCAGGCAATGTTCAAGCACGTAGGTTTGGAATATTGGCAAAGAGACTAACAGTAAGTTCAAGAGTGCCTCCTCACATTTGAAAAGTTTTCGATCACTGATAGTTTTGCTTTTTTCTGGGATCAGTTTAACTGAACACTGTATAAGTAGGTAAAGCAAGCTGTTGAAAATTGGTTATCTTCTTCCTCTCTTCTCTCATGTTTTCTATAAATTGCTATTAAAACTAGATGCTTGCTTACCAAAAAGAAACCCCACAACTTTACATAGTCCACAGGTTTCAGCAGATTGTCAAAGGGTCCGGGGCATCCAAAGAAGTAAAGCACCCTTGCTCAATTTGCCAGATGATGGGGAAGCGGAGGGGTCACTCTTAGGAGAGGGACCAGGCTAGGGAGGGCCCTCAGGGGCTTGGGATAGCAGCTCTTTATAACTGGATGGAAGCATCACCATTTTTCAACCAATTTGTTTGACATTTCTACTGTGCACCCTACAGTGGTTCAAACACACTAGGGGCTCCGCAGAAGAAAGATGAGGCTGACTGCTCCCTTAAAGATTTAACTCAGAAACCTAAAGGAACCCAGTTCATATAAGACTCCTATTGCTGTGAGTCTGAGTCAACTAGTTGGCAGTCGGTTTGTTTTTGTTTCAGTTCTACCCAGAGGCAGCGTTCTCATAAGACTGCTGAGGAGTCAAAGTAATAATGACTGGCCCACTTCAGAGACAGAATCTGAGGTCCCAAGCTGTTCAAGGCCAGCAGTGCATCAGCGTCAGGGCCAGGAGCAGCCCTATCCTCCCCCTGTGTTCTCCCTCCTTCTGCTGCCCAGGGATTTTCTAGGTTCCTAGGGAAAGTGCCAGGAGTCAAATGCGGTAAATTGCACCATTAGCAGCAGGATGGGTGCCAGGGGCATGGAGATTTATAAGGAGGCTGGGGACTAAGGCCTTTCTCAGCTGGGCCTCCTCCAGACCCAAAGGATACAGGCCTCTCCTCAGTGTGCACTCTAGGGATGAGGATTTCAAACAGGGGCCTCTCTCCTTGCCTGAAGGTAGAACATCCACCCAGCTCTACTTTGCAGCTGGAGTGAGATTATTATCAGGGTGGTTGAGGGTCCTTTTCCTGACCCCAGTGTAGGCCCATCAATCCCTTTTCCTCACTACAGCTTCTCTGTAGGTTTGTACCACATAAACAGCAACAATAAAACCCTATACCTGTATACCTACGCAGCTTCATCTCTAAACTAATCCCCTCTTTCACCCACATGCTCCTTCCTTCTTCACCTTTGTGACCACTCTCAGTTGCTGACCACTTGCTTCTTGATGAAATTCTTTCTTCCCTTAGCTTCTAACAGCCGGCTCCAAAGCAGGCCTGTCTTCCCACTTCGCTGCCTGCTCCTCTTATCTTCATCACTGACTCCCTCTTCCTCTGCCCCCTTGAACCTTTGCAGTCCAGCGCATTCATCCACCACGCCACACCAGGACTCCATGACTCACAGTGTAGGAGGCTGGAAACCTAGCTCAGAGTACTCTTTCTGAAAGCTCTGGAAGAAGGTCCTGTCTTCTGCTTCTGCTTTCTGGTTCCTTGGAGATCTCCATGTGCCTTGGCATCTCTTACCCCATCTCTCTCTCTCTCTGCTGTAAGGTTAAGTCTCTTTTTATATTTCAAAGGTGACTGATTCAAGATACACCTTGCACTAACCCTATGTCATTAACATAACTAAGACAATCCATTTCCAGGTGGGATTATAACCCAAGCATAGAGGTTAGGATTTACAACACATATTTTTGGTGGTCATCATTCAATCCATAACATGTCCCCTGCTCAGTAAATGTCAGTTGGGGGTCACAATCATCTGTTTTTCAGTTTCAGTAATCACCTTGTGGTCAACGTATTAAATCTTAGCCCTTAGCCCCCCTCCTGGTTTCATCCTGGTCATCTTCTTTTAGGCCTCTCTAGGCCCTAAATTTTACATAAAATGGAAGTAGTGCTTTTCTCAGAATTGTCGAGTTTTGTGTGCCAAGACATGTAAAACAAAAACAAAAACAAAAACAAAAAAACCACCATTGCTGTCAAGTTCATTTCAATTCATGGTGACAAAATGTGTCAGAATAGAATGTGTTCCACAGGGCTCTCAGTGGCTGATTTTTCAGAAGTACATTACCAGGCCTTTCTTCTGAGGTGCTTCTGGCTGCACTTGAACCTCCAATCTTCTGGTTAGCAGCCAAGTGCACGTTGGTTATAGTATCATCCTCTCCAACCCATTTGCACACAGCAGCAGACACAATTTGACCAGGTAAGTCCTGCTTAAGCGTTAGTGGCTTCTACCTTTCTCTGGACAAGCTCTCCAATTCTCAAGCCATAGGGCCCTACAGATCCATCCTTCTTTTAGGTCATAAAGACCTACTCTTGCTCAAATACACTCATCTTACCATTAAGCCTTTACTTAGGCTCTTTATTCCCATCTCTTCTTGTCCAAGTTCTGATTTTTCAAGTCCCCATTACAATGCTGAATCCTTCCCAGCACTCTCCAAGCATAACTCTCCCTCCCATATGCCATTTGCTGCATCCTAGAGACAGATATTTGCTTCCTGTCTCACACATTTTCAGAGTCTGAGTTCAGTTCAGTCCTGGCACACACCAAGGGCTCCATGGAATGCTGCTGAATTCCAGCATTCCCAGTCTTCAGCTGAGGATGGGCTGGCAAGTCATATCCCAAGTCCCTGAAACAGCAGGGTGTGAACCCTGAAGTGAGCTCTCTGGTTCCCAGTTCCAGAATTTCCTCCTAATTGCCCCTCCTCTGGATCTGGGGTCAGTGACAGTGTCCCATGTAGGACTGGCCAAGCCAGGGAACTCCCAGGGCAGGTGAGGACAGACAGCTCCAGGACTTCGCCAAAGCCCTGCCCACCTTCTCTCCAACTACTGTAAGCAAAGTCCAGTAGTCCTAATGGCCTCTGGGGGCCAGAGAGTGAGGTGATCAAGGCCACCTCCCCACCACCACATCCCTCTAGCTCTGGAGGTGAGCCCCTTGTTCCAGCCTCTGCTCTGCCAGGGTTGTCTGTGACTTTGGGTCAAACCCTCCCATCTCAGGAGCCTGAATATCCTTCATTATCAAAGGAAAGACCCTTTCCAGCTCCAACATGTCAGTCTAGAGTGAACACTGTAGATGCTGAGTGTGGGATCAAGGTGTCGGATCAGGGGACAGGAAGCCTCAGGAATCCAAGGGCACTGAGAGAGGGAGGGGAGAGTTCTACTATCTTACACACATTATGGAGTCCCGGTGTGGTACTGTAGGATAAACACTGGATTGTTCACCACAAGGTCAGTAGTTCAAAACCACCAGTTAGTCAGTCTTTGGAAACCCTATATAAGGTCACTATGAGTCAGAACCAACTCCACAGCATTTAACAAGAAGAAGCACATTACTGCCTGCCCACTCCCCACCGCCACCTACATGAGCCCACAACCAGAAAAGAGAAAGTGTTTACTGGAAAAAAAAAAAAAGAGTTTATTGAAAACTATATACAGTTGGTTCAGTCCCTACACAGACTACAACCTGGACTGGCCCCTCCCCCACCTCAGGCAGTATCTCAGCCCCAGACAGTGGCAGCTGAGGCCAGGACCCAAACTCCCCCAAGGATTTTTGTCTGTGTGGTGGCAGATAGGGGACAGGAATCCTTTCTCTAACCTCGTCATAAACTGGGTAGGGGAGCACTATTCTGAAACTGCGGTTCAAGAGGGTCCAGCTGGGTTCTCTGGAAGTCCTGGCTGCTCCTCTCCCAGGAAGCCTTCTGGAACATGGAGGTAAACGGCCTGGCCTACCTACCACCTACCCTATGTCCCAGTCCCATGGGCTTCATGATATCAGTCACCCTCCGTCCCAACACTGATTCACGGTCCAAGGCCCGGGAGCACTCCCCAAGCAGAAGACCTGGGGTAGAGAGGTGAGGTGAATGTTGGGGAGGTCATGGATCAGGTCTCAAGGCCAGAGCCTCCTGGGACAGAGGCAGTCTGGGGGTCAGGGAGTCCCGCTGTAAGAATAATCCGCTTTATTGTGCATCACCAGCCGGTCATCCACGAAGTAGAAGCTGTCAGACTGCGTTTCGTATGGGTGACGGATCATCTCGCTGACTGCAAGAGAGGCCGGGTCAGACCAGGCAAAGGTCAGGAGCTTGAGCCAGGTCAATAAAGAGGCTTCAGGACTAGGGTAGAATAGTGGCAGGGATACACTGAATGTCCCCACAGAGCACCCCAGCCTCTTGGAGCCTCAGTTTCCCTACAGGAGACATGGGAATTGTGACCAGGGCATTTGGTGTCACCAAGCACAAAAGAGACTCAGAGTGAGAGGAAAAGGGAGGTCAGTCCATATGCACCCCAACCCCTGTCAGCTTGGTCCACACACCACCCCACACTCTCAAGGCTCTGCCCCACGCACTTAGCTCCTCTGAGAGTTGGGGGAAATCATAGATGTGCTCGCAGGTGTTCTTGCTGCTGGGGATGCAGAAGCCAAAGTGGAAATCGAAAGTTTTGAGTAGCTGGTTGCGGAAGTAGTGCCTCTCGATCATGCGGAAATTGTTGACAGGCTTGTCTCCCACTGTGAACTCTACCCTGAGAGACACAAGGGGGCAGGCTCAGGACAGACCACCCTTCAGAGAGGCTCAGGAAGGGCTCACTCCCATCCTCACCCTCGCCCCAGCCCAGTGACTCACGTGGCTCCCACCTGCTTCAGGCGGAGGAAGGCAGGTGTGAACTGGTAGCGGACAAAGCGCCCAGCATTGGGGTCCAGGTCCCGCCGGTTGATGGGCAACCGCTCTGCAATGCACCCCAGGTGGAGCTCAGTGGGCTTAAGGCTGGGGCCCTTTGCCCACCCTAATGCCACCCCAGGGCCCTATTTGTCTGTATGTTTTAAAATCTCCTTTAGGAGATTCTGATGTATAACAAGGGTCCAGAACCACTGGCTGAAGGGTCCTTTCAGAAGATTCTAGGTCATCAGGTCACCAGTTTCTACTGTGGCTCCCAGGGACACAGGGACTGAAGTCTAGGGTCCCTGGGACTGCTGTTTCCAGGGAAAACTGCAGGGGAAAGGTCAGCAGGGACCAAAGGGGCAGGGCTGTTTTCCAAAGATGTCTGACTCCAGAGACAGATGGGAAGGAAAAGGGGATCCAACCTCAGGCAGAAGTCTACTTGCTTTGAGACCCCCCAAGAATTCTGGGGTCCAAACCCCAGCTCTGCTCTGACTCCTTTGTGACCTGAAGATACATACTCTGAGCAACCTCCCACCCTTATGGTCCACCCAGCCCACTCACCTGAGGCTGGGGGCTTTTTTATTTCAAATAGGACGGTGCCTGAGTCCATGTCCCGAATCTTGAACCTGATGAAATCGATCTTATAGATATTCTCCTCAGGGGAACACAGGTAGTCTACGGAAGAGAAGCGACTAAGTAAGGCAGGAACCCACCCAAAAGCCCTCTCTACCAAGTCACCTTTGGGGGACCCCAGACTAGTTACCACTTTCTCTGATCCAAAGACTATTGCCCTGACCTATAGAAAAAAAGAACTGAGACCCTGCCCAGGGGAACCCCCACAGAGTGGGAGAGACACAGCTCCGCCATTGTGATTTAACAGCTGAATCCTAGTGATGTCTGGGGTCAGTGAGGGTCAGGGCAGGGAAGGGTAGAGGACCAGTCCACCTCCCCCACACCTCCCTCCCATCCTGGAGTCCTTATTCCAGCCTCTGCTCTACCAGTGTTGGCCGGAGCTTTGGAATAAATGGGTCTCCAATCTAACGTGGATCCCCCAGCACAAATGGGAAGACCTTGCTCTGAAGGGATGTCACAGCTCAGCCATGGGAGAGACACAGTCCTCTGGGGGACCCCCACCCCCACTCGCAGCTACCCCTGACACTATATGTAGATGTCAGTAAAGGACTGATCTTGAGGGGACTTTCCCCGACATGGGTGGTGCTGGGGCAGATGAACAATCCCTTCCCCAACTGCCTTCACCATGTACCCCCCAGCCCCCACCTCTCCCCATAAGCAGCTTAGCCCAAACTCTGCTAAATCAAGCCCAAGTCTCCAATACTGGCAGGGAAAGGGCCAACTTTGCTCACCCTCTGTTGACCTCCACATGGGAGGAAATCTTATCAAACAGAGGGAGCCCCCTTTAGAGATCCTCTAAGCAGCCTGCTCCCCACCCTCAAAGCTAGGCCAGGAAGACGGCGTGGCAGGTGTAGCAAGGGGTGTGGAAGAGGGTAAGGGGAGTGGGCAGGGCCCAGAAGGGAACCAGGAGCAATGGTGGGCCCTGCTGAGGGAGCTGGGGAATACTCCAGGCAAGCTCTGACCTTCACTGGAAGTGTTCAGGAGGCCCTGGCCACACTAGGGGTGTACCAGGTGGGGGTGGGGGTGAGGGGTGTCAGAGCTTTTAGCCTGAACAGCATCACATCCGCCCCTGGTAGCCCAGAGAGTACCGGAAATCACCCTCAGGCCCCTGGGCCACCTCCTATTCCTCTGGGGCAGGAAGAGGAAGTGAATGTAAAGTCATTCTCTCTTTCCCAGCTCTGCCTCTTCCCCAAACCTAGAGTAGCTTCCTCCAGGAAGCCCTCCAGGGCAGCCATCTGTCACTTTGGGGCCCAGCATGGATTACACAGGGAGGGACCTGAGCCACCACTGTCCAGGAGGAGAGAGGAAGGGAATGGAAGTCGGCAGTCCCTATCTCCATCCTTTGCATTATCGTCACAGAAATCCGTTGTCCAAGGATAAAGGCGGCAAAGGGCAGAAGGAGAGAGGGTGGCAGAGCTAGGAAGACGATGCTAGTTACCCAGCTTTCAGCCTCTTCTTCCCCACTCTTTAACTTCCAGGGTCTCTCCACTCACTTGTTGTATCTTGCAGTCTGACTTCAGTCTCTCCTACTGCAAACTCAATCTATCAACTTCTCAGGGACTAGGTCTGAGTCCAAGGTCAAGCCAGAACAAGGGAGCAGAGTGGCTGAAGGCTTAAGGCACAAAATGTTTTCCTTCTGCCACAAATAGTTTCCTAAGCTGGATTTAGGGCCCACTAATCCAGGAACAGCAAACCTCAGACCTGTATGATTTGGGTCCAAGGAGACCAAGCAGGGGGTACTAGGATAAAGAGTGCTGGAAAACTGAGTTGAGTTCTGCAGGGGACATAAAATAACCAAACCAAACCCACTGCTGTGAAGTGTGACTCTTAACAAACCCTATGTTGTTGTTAAGTGCTGTCGAGTCAGTTCTGACCCATAGCGACCCTGTATAGGGTTTCCGAGGAGCCACTGGTGAGCTTGAACCGCTGACCTTGTGGTTCTAACCAACTTTGCAGTCCAGCGTATTAACCCACAGTGCCACACCACACCAGGATTCCTATAGGACAGAGTGAATGCTCCACTGGGTTTCTGAGGCTGTATGTCTTTACAGAAGCAAGCTGACTCATCTTTCTTCCTCTGAGCAAACAGTGAATTCAAACTGCCCACCTTTCAGTTAGTCGCCCAATGCCTAACCCACTGTACCACCAGGGATCTTCTGCAGAAGAAAGGGCTCCCATAAAGCCCCTTCCACTACTCACAGATGCCCCATCTCTACGGGTCATGAATTTCCTCCACACCAGGAGAAACATGTGGCATGTAGGCTGAGAGCCCCCTGTAGTTACCATTGTTGTTGTTAAGTGCGTTGAGTCAGTTCTGACCCACAGCGATCCTCTTAGGGTTTCTGAGGAGTGTCTGGTGAGTTTCAGCTGCTGACCTTGTGATTCAAACCGACCTTGCGGTCCAATGCTTATTCTACAACGCCACACCAGGACCATAGTTACCCATAACTCAGATCACCTTGAGCTCCTGACATCCTATAAGAAAGTTCTGCCCCAGAGCTAAGCTGAATCCTAAATATTGCTGTTGCCAGCTACAGTCCAAGTGGCTCCAACATCAGCCTGGCCCAGGACCCCTCCCTCTACCAGTGCCTGCTTAGGCAAGAGAGCTCAGTCCTCCAGGGACCCAGTCAAGAATGGCTGTTGTCTGCCTGGCTTGGAGAGGAGGGAGGAGCTGGATCCCCAAGGACCTAGGTGCACAGGCCCAGGCCTGCCATTGTGATCCCCTCCACATCTCTGTCTGCAAGCCCCAGGCTTGGTTGATCCTGTCCCTGACCCTCACAGAAAGAGCCTCAACAGCTGCTCTCACAGAGGGTGGTAGAGCAGAGCTGGTAATGAGAAAAACTACGGTAGAGAACCACTGAAGCCCCCAGATGCCTCTCATTCTTCCAGGTTCAGCCATCTCCTCTACCATGAAGTTCCTCATCCTCGTCCTTTTCCCATGGTAACCCCCTGAATGCCCAGTTGTCTGCCTCCAACCATGAGCAGTCTGTAGTTCCCTCAGTGCTACTAATAAAGGGTCCTATTTACAGAACACAGTGGGTCAGGCCATTGTGTGAAGCCAGAGGATTCATTTGATCATTACAAGAACCCTATGATGTAGGTGGTATTAGCCCCATTTTAGAGATGAAGAAACATGTTCAGAGAGGTAAAGTTACTTGCCCAAGGTCACACAGCCAACTACATGACAAAGCTGGGATTCAAACCCAGCCAGTCTAGCTCAGAACCTCTTAACCACAATGATATTGATGAGAGTTCTGCAGCAGAAAAAGGGCAGACTCGGGTCCAGACTTGAGGGCATTAACCCACTCACTGGCAGGACCCAGAACCAACCCACTGAAGCTTCCTGCTCAGTTTCTTTCCTGGAGAGGGGGATGGAAAATGGCCCCAGTGTTCCTAGGATCGGGGTGGGTGGGTAATTCAGGGTGACCCCAGTAGTCTTGAGGCCACCTAAGCAGCTTAGTCTTTATCTGGCCTCCAGGGACGGGGGCTGAGGACAGACTGCACTTGACTTCATCTGTGCAAAGGGCTCTGAGGACTCCACAGTTGCAGTTGCTGTCTGTCCCACCTTCAACAGGGAATGAACCCTCCCCCAAATAATACATCTCTAAAAGAAGATAAGGGATACACTGGGTGGCCAAGAAGAGAGGGGGCATGGAGATCTCAGGCTTCCAGGCATGAATGAGAGAGGAGTAAACGTAGGGGAGGGGATTCAGAGATGGAAGGGGAGGGGAGTGGGGGGAAAGGCGGAAAGAGGGGCTCCCCCCGCTCCTGGACTCCGCATTTATGGAGGGGCCCTCCCCGCTCTCGTTCCTCGCCCGTGCTCACCGCCTGTGATCTGCTGTAGCCCCAGCACGTCCTCCGGCCTGATCTGCTGCTTGCTCTGCAAGGGCCCTGGCCTGGGCCGTGGGCCGGCCTCAGGTTCTGACTCGGACCCAGATTCGGATTCTGCTTGCGACTTTGGCTCCAGATTGGGCTCCACGCTCCGGCCCGAGGCCCCTAGAGCGGGCTCCACCCCCGTCCCAGCACCGCCACCACCCTTCTTCACCTTCATGGCCTCGCGGGCCGCGGCTCGTCTGCTGCCGCCACCCACTGCTGCCTGCGCTGGCTTGAGCCGGGGGAAGAGGGAAGCGTCCACAGCCCCACCCCCAGTCGGGGCCCCAGGTACCGCTCCGCCCTCAGTCCTCTTGGCTCCTCCTCTGGGGTGGGTCTGGTTCTGACCCCGCCTACCCAGCAGGGTCCACCAGGGCTCTTATCTCAGCTAAGGTGAGGGCTGTCCCTGGGCATCATTCATTTCCCATTTGATATTTTAAGGGGGTCTTGCCTACCTCTCCTCTGCTGCGCTCCAGTCAGCCCCTAGAGTCATCAAGGGAGTTCCAGCTTCAGGCTCTTTGCCTGGACAAGGCTCTCCCCTTGTCCTTCTGGTCTGACCTTAAATGTCAAAAGCCCTCCTTCACATCCAATCTGAAGTACACCCCTCAGTCTCAATCATTAACTGGTCAGCCCATTTTTCTATTTGCTCAGTCTCTTTTCCTTCAAAGATCAGTTAAGTTCAAAGCAGACTCTATTCCCTGTAATGCCCCAACACCTGGTAGGAGTCCCTTGCAGCCAACGCTGAATAAATAACTTTTCCTTTTCTGAAGTGATGAATGAGTTCATATCTGACAGCTTTCACTGGGTACAAGCTATTCTCTCAGACTCCTTGCTAAAATGCAGAGGTAACTGTAAATAGCCTTGCTGAGCAACCCAGAACACTCAGAGGGGCAACAATCTAGATACCGTACAAGTCAGGCTGCTGCTAACCTTAAGGTCGGCGGTTTGAAACTACCAGTGGTTCTGTGGGAGAAAGCAGCAGCTTTCTGCTCCCGCAAAGGAAACCCTGTGAAAGGTCACTGTGAGTTGGAACCAACTCCATGGCACACCACCACCACCACCAGCCACCAAAGGGCCTTACAGGAGAAATGACATAGGGGCAGGAAGGGCACATGGCCAGGAAGACAGACACCAGAAAACTCTTACTTACTTGTAAATGAGGAGAGAATTAAGAGTATGATCATACTTCAGATCATATTTAATTCATGTTCAGAAAATGTTTATTGAGAGCCAGACATTTTCACATGCTTTATCACATTTAATCTTCACAACAACTTTGTATCATTTTAACAAACGAGGGAGCTCACCAGATAATAAGTTCAGAAGCAAGGAATTCAGGCCTGTTTGATTCAAAGTCCAGAAGTTTCTGTACTGTACCCCACTGCCCAAGTTTCTGCCATATACACAGCACCAGGTCTTGAGCTACTGCCTTCTGGACTCCTGTCTGGCTGTACCTAACAGGTGTAGCCAGTCCAGAAAGAGAGGAGTAAAGGAAGAGCCCCAAAGGGGACCTACGCCTGGCCTCTTCCAGCTAAACAGTGTTGGGGCTTTCCCTGATGGGTCATGGAGGAGCGGCAGGATCCCACCAGGTCTTTCCCTCATACTGCCTCCTCAGTCATAAGACGAGTGTACTACAGTGAGAAACAGGGTAGATGTACAAGCTGTCCCTACCTCAGAGGGAGGTAGTCAGGGCCTTCAAGTTCAAGCCAGTTAAGTACACCCAGATGATGCCACCCTCTGAGGTTCCTGGGAGTATGAGGGGAAAGGCAAGAAGGCCTGAGCCAGGAAATAGAAAGATGAACCCATCTTGGAGAGTTGTACTTGGATGCTGGAAAGGCAACAGAGGAGGCCAGAAAAGTCATTCCCAGCAGGCCCCATTTATGTGCCTCTCAGTGTAACCTCTCCTATCCCGGCCTAAAAGGAAGGGTCCCTACTGAGACACTGCTGCCCTGCTCAGTCTGTCTTCTCAGGCTTCTTCCAGGACTTGTGGGTCTCCCTAAAGATCTTGACCAGGGATAGGAGAATGGGCACAGCCACAGGCAAGAAGAGTGGGATGTAGATGGCAAACTTCTGGTCATCAGGAAAATAGAGGAGGTGGAGGAGTGAGGGGTCAAAAAAGGCACGCTCTGAGGATGTCACAGCTTCCTGACTGGCAAGGAAGGCAGAGGCCAGGTGTCCAGTGGCTAATTCCTCTGCGGCCTTCTGGACTGCAGCTACTGCCCTGTATACCTAGGAAGGGAAGACAGGGTTAAAAGTTGCACACTATGTACTAATAAGTCCTATGGAGGCATGGTGGAGAGGGGACTGAACCTTAATGCGTCTTCTGCCCACCAGGATGTTTGCCTGGATAAATGGAGGGCTGTGGGCATGTTTACCAGTATAAAAGGACTGTGGGGGCATGTTTTCTTAGAATCTACTTGAAAGTTGACACTCCCATTTGGACTCCTGGGGGCATTCAAGGATGGCATGCCCACACATATCTGAGGATGCCTCTCTGGTCTCATCACACACAGCATGACCCTTGCCGACCTATCTATACAATTCAAGGCCACAGAATCCAGTCCCTGCCCACATACCTCAGATGCCACGTTGTCCTTGATGACAATGTTGCTGATCTTGCCCAGAAGCTGGGCCAGGGAGGTGAGCGTGGTGGTGGCCGTGGCCAGGTTTTCCACTGACCGAGCCCACAGCAGTCGGTCCAGCTCCCAGCTCATTAGCCCTTCACTCTTAGGCCCTGCAAGCAGGCATTTTGGAGGCAGCTGGGGCTGGGCTATCCCAAAGAGTACCCTGTAGGAATAGCCAAGTTAAGATCAAGGTGGCTGAGATCAGAAGGTGGGAGAAGGTAGAAAAGATCCAGAACCACAAGGGTCATAAGGAAGTATGTTAGGGTCTTGAAGAGTGAATGGCACACCAAGCAATACAGAGCCCTAAACCTCACTTCTCTAGTGTGTTTCAACTTTCATCTGTTTCTATAAAGGACAACCAAGATCTTGTTGGAAGAAAGGTTCCATGGCTAAAAACTTCTGGTAACACCAACTACCATGGATTGAATTGTGCCCCACTCCAGAATGTGTCAACTTGGCTAGGACATGATTTCCAGTATTGTGTGGTTGTGTTCAATTTTGTGATCTGATGCAACTATCCTCAATTCTGCAATGTGTTGTAAATCCTGACCTCTAGCTGTGGGTTAAAGCGCCAGACTGCAAAGCCATTTGAACTGCAAGGTCGGCGGTTCAAGCTCACCAGTCACTCCTTGTAAACCCTATACAGGGTCGCTATGGGTCGGAACCAACTTGACAGCACTTAACAAAAACAACAACATCAGCATTAGGTCTTATTAATAAGGATCAGGTTGTGTTTATTATGTTAATGAGGCACGATTAGGTGGGATGCAATACCATTACTCTGGTCATAAGCCTGATCTACTGTAATGAGAATTTCCCTGGGGTGTGGCCTGCATGCCGTTTTGTCTCACAAGAAATGAAATTAGAGAGAAGCAAGCAGAGATGGCAAGAACTCAGTACCACTAAGAAAGAAGACCTGTAGCAGAGCATGTCCTTTGGACTTCGGGGCCCCTGTGCTAAGAACCTCCTAGATCCTGAGGAACAATGATGACAAGACACATAGAGACCTCCAAGTAACAAGGGGCTGACAGAGACTGAAAGGAGATAAGGACCTTCCCCAGAGCCAATAAGAAAGAAAGCTTTTCCCTAGAGGTGGCACCCTGAGTTTGGATTTGTAGCCTCCCAAACTGAGAGAGAACAAACTTCTGCTTGTTAAAGCCATTTACTTGTGGTATTTCTGTTACAGGAGCACTAGGTAACTATGACACCAACTTAGTTTGGTCCCTTCATCCTTTCTTATTTTCTCACTGAACAAATGGAGCTAGCAGAATTTAGGAGCTAAGGGACGATCCAGGACCACGTTTAACAAAATGACATGCATACCGTGCCTCCCTCATCCTGCACTCGTGCCAAACATTGCTAACGCATCAGAAGAATACTCTTTTCTGATCAGACAAGACATAGGCTTATAGAATCCTCAACATAGGACTTTGGACAGCTACTCTCAATCAATCAGTTAGCATAGGAATAAATAGCTATTAAGCACAACTAATCGTGCCTCACAAACTTGACATGCGTGCCTATCTTTCTTAAAATGGGTTTTCTGAGCAACCAGTCCTACTAAGGAAAAGAATTAAGCAACTCTTGGCTTCCCGGTAACTTTAGGCATAGCCCAGGTGTCTCTGGCAATCATCCTGATTGCAAATCCCCTCTAGAGCCCAGGAGGCTGTGATCAGACTCTCAGCAGCCATGCCTCCAAATGGAACACCCAGGGCCTTACCGCAACTGAGCCAGGAACACCTCCATCACCCGCACCATGTCCACTTCGACTCTCACCGGCAACCCCGAGGCATTGTAGGCTTTGGGGTCAACATTGTATACCTGAAACGGGGAAGAAAGATGCCACAACATCACATCAGCACTGTGCATTGCTCTTCCCTAGGCACTTGGGAGATCCCTCTGGACAAAAGGAAAACATAGTCTCTGCTCTTTAGAAGCTATAAACCTGATGGCATGGTTAATACAATTTGAGTAAATATTCAGCTGCTAACTGAAAAGTTGCAGTTCAAATCCACCAGTGGCTCCATGGGTGACTTACAGCCTAGGAATCCTATGGACTAGCTCTAGTCTGTCCTATAGGGTCTCTATGAGAAGGCACACAACTATTATGAATTTACAAAAATTACCTCAATTATTCCCTTATAAGTCCTGTAAAATACAGTTTTCAAGTCTCATGTTAAGAGTTCTCACCCATGAGAAACTCCTAAAAAGGGAGGCAAAGTTCCCAACTTTGCAAGGCTCCCCCACAAACAGAGACAAGATCTAAAGGTGCACACACAAAACAGTCCTAAATCAGTGCAAACTGCTAAGTGCAAAAGGGTCAAGTTGACCAGCAGCACTGACAGACGGAAGCATGAGTGGTGCTGGCAGAGGAGCAGCGTGAGCACGCAGCACCCTTGTCTCTTTTGTGCCTGCCCCGCCCGGAGGCTGAGCCACAGAGGACACCAGAAGCAACAGAAAAAAACAGTCTCAGGGAACATCTGTCTGTCCTTGAAGCTAGGGCTCTGCAGTTTCATTATTACCATAATGCCACCCCAGCGGGGACTGTGGAAGGCGTTGGTAGCCACTGGAGCCCCGTCCTTGTCCTGAATGTAGAGGGGGGAATGGGCAAGCTCAGGCACATAAAGTAAGAAGTTGAGCACAGGGTAGAGGGAAGCAGCACCGGAGCCTGTAGAAGAGAGAAGGAAGGTAGAACACAAAACACACCAAGCCCAGAGCTTGACTCCATGCCAGTCTCTGCCCTGCTGATAAACGGCGCTGGGTTTCCTCAACTGATAATCTCTAGGATACCCTCTAGTCTTGGGTTTCTAAGGTGCAGGACCTCCCAGTATTCTCCCAAGATGTGCCACATGGATAGAGTACAGTCCAGAGACCCAAAATACCCCTGAAATCTTCCTTCTTTTAAAAGACCCTCTTGGTCACCGACACATACTTCCCACATTATTATATAATTAGTCTTAAGAATAAGCATAAATCTGACCTCATGCCAGTTCCTTGCTTAATATTGTCAAAGGTTGCCCATTAATATCAAACTTTATAAGATGATCCTTTTTGTATAATCTGGTCCCTGCTGCTTGTCTTGCCTTGCCAGCTTCATCAGTCCAGTCACACTAAACTATTCTGAGCTCTCTACACTTCTGCATCTAAGCTCAGAGCTCCCTGCATCTGAAACACCCTTCTTTGAAGAAGGCATTTGCCAAGGCCTCAAGTGTTGCCCTTTCATACTCCCTGGTCTACACTGGTCTACCTCTGGTGCCTGAAATGTCACAGTCAGTTTTATACTCCCTTTGGTTTGCCTGAATTACAATTCTTGGTTACACCTAACCTCTCTAGGCTCTACTCCAAAAATGAAAAACTAATCCTGGCTTCATGGTTCCTCAACCTCAATCAACAGAACTGGAAACTCCATGTAATTATGCTGGTGTCTGGTTTTCCTAGATGCCTTCAGGGAAGGAGCTGCAGGCTATCTATTTGTAAAAAGTGCTGGGAATCATACCTAATAATTTATGGATATGAGGGGTGGAGATATCAACAGAGCATTATGAAAAAGAGACTTTCATCATCAGCACTTCCCTGACCCCCTCAGAGCCACCCAACCTGGAAGCTCTCACTACATACAACCCTCTTCCAACTCCAGGCTGAGTCCTTAAGAGTCCCTCCCTGGCCTGCAAAAAGGCCTTCAAATTCAGAGCTCACCCAGCCGTGACTCCACAGGATTGATGACGTGAGGGAGGCTGTGAGTAGCCAGGTAGTAACTGGAGGAAGCTGGGTCAAAGCGTGGATTGACTCCCAAGACTGCATAGTAGAGGATCTATGGAGCAAAGGCAGATGGTTATTTTGCTTATTGAGTTATATACTTGGTCAAAAAAAAAAAAGATTTGAGGTGATTTAAAAAGATAAAATTAACACAAGGCAAAATATAAGAAACTAAATCAGGCCTGAGAGAAAATAAATGCAGGGAAAAAAACCTAGTGAGTCAAGGGCAAAGTCAATACATTCTAGATACATACTTTGAAAAGCTCTGGTAACGTAGTGGTTATGAATCAGGCTATGAACCACCAAGGTCAGCAGTTCGAAACTACCAGCTGTTCCATGGGAGAAAGATGAGGCTTTCTGCTCCCGTAAAGATTTACAGCCTTGGAAACCCTGTACAGGGTCGTTATGAGTCGGAACTGACTCGGCGGCACATAACAACAACTTTGAAAAGCACATATTTCACCAAGCTTCCTACCAGCCTAACAAAAAGTAGCATAACTCAGTGTCCACAAAGGAAAGTCAAGCCAGCTATCCAGAAGTAAGCACTCCACTACCATTACTTGATAATATTTCTCCCACGTTTCACTAAAAGGACACTGTGTGCTATAAACAGCAAGATTCTTTGTTACCTTTATTGTAACTTCCTTACCATTATTTCAGGAAGCTTTAAAAAAATATATCACTCCTAGTGACTAACTTTTCAGTCTAGGAGCGGAGGTCCCTAGGACCATCAATGGAGAAGAGCGGAGAGTGGGACCCTACCCAGAGAAGCAGTGATGCCTGAGATGGAGGCAGAGACAATGACATGGAGAGATGGAATGGCTTGGGACTTGAGGTCTAGATAGGTAGATGGGCTGTGTGCTGACGACCGGGGGGAGGGGAAAGGGTGGGCAGGCTTGCAGGGTATCCCCTTTTGTTGGTTGATGATGCATGGAAGGGATTGTAACCGTGGCAATGAAATGATATACGATAGATAGAATGAATGTAAAACTAATGTTCTCCTATGTAAACTATCACATAATTCACAATGAAACATTTATATAATATATATATATATATATCACTCCTAAAGAGTAGCTGATGATGTAATACCTAGGTACAGATGGTTCTAGAGAGAGTAATAAGGAAACTGGCTAGTTAGCAAGTAGTGATGGAACTCCTACTACAAGTTGGGCATTAAAGAGGGAAAATGAAGACACTAGAACCTGCCTTCAAGACACACACACACACACAGATACACACAAGCATCTTCCCTCATGATGCTCACATACGTAGGAAATGCCTAGCAAATCAGCAAGCTCCAAGAGATGGCAACAGAAACTATACTTGTAAACACTACATATTTATAGAGACTTTGGGGGAGAAAAAAAATGGTGCAGCCAGAAGAAAAACTCCTGAACTTGCACCCAATCTCACCTGAGAGTCCACGGAGAAGTTGCCAGCAGCACTGAGGGCACTCAGGAAGGGCTGCACATAGCGCTCAACAGCCCCCTCAATGTCCCAGTGGACATCATGGGACTTGGGGTCTGGGTTGAGTAAACTGAAGGTGATCTCATAACCTAGAGAACAAGACTCAAGGAAGTCAGAAGGCTCCTGCGGCTCAAGGCAGAGGCGGCCTGTGCTCCTGCCTGAGGTGAACTTGTTTCTTTCTGGAGTAGTGTTGACTGCCAACATAGAACCAAAGGGAGGATAAAACTAATGCTTTAAGAACAAGTTGAAATCAGAGAATAAAAAAAGATGTTGTGTGTAGATTCCCCTTCTGTCCCACTGCTATACATAGTTCATTTCCCGCTTCCTTCCCATAGCAAAGTCTGATCACCTTACCCAAGCTGGACTTGAGAGGCCGCCTCTTATCAGAGCTCCACTTGTCCTCTGGAAGGTGGTCAGCCAGGGCAGCAGCCAGCACATCCTCAGTCAAAGACATGGCTTGGGCTACTTGGATTATGCGACGGCCAATGATGTTAAAGGCCTCCCGGTGTAATAGCCCCCGTACAACTGCTGTCCTCTTGGGCCCAATATAGCTTATCATGTCCTATGAGAGAAGAGCAAGAGACAGGATGCCCATGGCTCAAAACTCAGGGAAGAAAGCAGAAAAGCATTCTGGATCCTGTCTTTAAGAATCTGGCCTTTTGTCACTACGGAACAGACAGACGCAGCATCTCTTTAGATTGATGTTGTTGTCAAGTGCTTCTGACTCATAGCCACTCTTCTGACTCACAGCCACTCTGTAGGGTTTCTAAGGAGTAATTGGTGGGTTTGAACCACCGACCTGGTGGTTGGCAGTCCAGTGCTTATCCTACAGTGTCACACCAGGACTCCCTTTAGACTGACAGTGGGTTATTAACTTGGCATTTCTGAGCTATGGGTATATATGAGTATCTTCAAGACAGATCTCTTCTGTTCCTAGTAGACATGAATATTTAAAAACTGACATATGGCAAAAAGGCAAGTGAGTACAAGTATGTTCACAGCAACACTGTTTCTAATAATAATAATAATAAAGGAAACAAACCAAATGTCCATCAACAAAAAAATGGATATATTGTGATATATAATGAATAATATACAATGAAACACTAGACAAAAGTGAAAATTAAAGCATTGTGGCAGTGTGGGTTAATGGATTGTACTGCAATGTTAGTTTGAACGGCAGCATCTGTGGTTCAAGCTCACCAGCTGCTCCTTGGAAACCCTATACAGGGTCGTTATGAGTCGGAACCGACTTGACAGTACTTAACAACAACACACCTATTATGGATGATTCCCTCAAACAAAGCTGAACTAAACAAATCACAGAAGAACAAATACTGTATCATGTTGTTGTTGTGAAGTGCCGTGGAGTCGGTTCCGACTCATTGTGACCCTGCACAGGGTTTCCGAGGCTGTAAATCTTTACGGGAGCAGAAAGCCTCATCTTTCTCCCGCGGAATGGCTGGTAGCTTCAAACTGCCAACCTTGAGGTTAGCAGCCTGATTCGTAACCACTACGCTCAGAGCTTCTTGTACTGTATTATACCATCTATATAAAACTCAAAAACATGTCAAATTATATATGCTGTTTAGAGATGCAGTGTAAGTGATAAAATACTATAGAAAATGATACAATGTGGTCCCCTTGTTGGGCTGAAAGGGAGTGGAGAACGTCCAGGAGTAGCAAGGGGCTCTAACTACATTGCTAACACCTGTACTGCCGGTATTATCATCACAACTCACTCAAACCAAATTCCCTATTACTCCAACTTTGTCACTGGCGCTTTTACACATGGGCTTGCCCTTGGGTTTAGAAAGATGCAGAGTCATGATTTGGAGTTTTCCGTAATGAATTGAAGAAATGAGAATTCGCTGGAAGGATGAGGCAAGGCTGCAGCCTCTCTGCATACCCTACCTGAGGAAGAAGAGAGGAGTGTTCAGAGATCACGTACACAGTCAGGGAGCCCTCCAGTGGCTCCTGTGGCTCAGCTAGCATGGCTTCTGCCTCTAGGGACAAGAGCAGGTAGTGTAGCAGAAGGAAAAACACCATCCCGTCTCCCTGTGGCCCACTATAGAGTCTCAAAGCCACCCCTCTACCTCCCATTCACACCCAGCTGACATTTTGGGAAGGCTTAACTGAACTACTTGACCACTCTGGCTCTCAGTGATCCAAGATGAAACACAAGGTACCTCATTCCCAGCACTCCCAGAGAGACTCTGGAGGTAAAGCAAGGTATGAACACTATACACTCAAGAGATCCGAAGGATGGAATGGGTTAAATGGCATGATTGCCTCTTCTATACCTTGTACAGTGCTCAGTGACAGGGCCTCCTCCTCGTGGTCCAGAGCCCTCCGGTACGCCTTCTGGAAACGGCATTTGATTTTCATTTTGTCTAGGAGCGAAAGGAAAAAGTATAATCGGAAGGGTAAGTCTCAGATCTCTGCCCACCCCACCTCCCACAAGCCCTAACACTGCCCAGTGCCTGAACAGTAAGATGACTGTTTACAGAGAAAGATCAAGAAGCTTCAGTCAATGCTAATGATTTCTGCTTGAATGATATAAAAAACACAGCCCCTACTTCTTCCACCTGCCCCAGGTCCTGCCTTTCTGCCTATTCTTATTAACTGCTGTCGAGTCGGTTTCTACTCTGAATAGGGTTTCTGAGGAGTGACTGGTGGTTTTGAACCACCAACCTTGCGGTTAGCAGGCCAGTGTTTATTCTACAGTGTCACACTATAGTATCCTCCAAGTGGAAAATCTACTACTATAATTATTATATGAATGGTCTCAAGTGCTACCCGTGCTCCAAAATAATTAGCAAGTTCAATGAAATCCCTAATTAAAAGTGCATACTTAATGACAAAATAATAAATAGAGTTCCATTAAAATCAGTAAAAAAAAAACAAGAATGCCTGCTATCTCCTCCATCAATATTTTCTATTACTCAACATTGTGCTTTCTGAAGATCCTAACAAATGAAATGTTTCTGTTGTCAGGTGTCATCAACTGGGTTCTGACTCATAGCAATCCTATGCACAACAGAACAAAACACTGCCAGGTAATGAGTGAAGAAAAAAATGGCCATTTAAAAAAACAATATAGTTATTTTCCTATGAAGAGTGGCATAAAATGTGGAACAAAACTCAAAATTATTTTAAAATAAAACAAAACAGGTTTACTGGTCAGAAAGAAAGTGGAGTAAGCTGAGACTATGGCCCTCAATCACCCTTCAGGTCTGGAAAGGAACTCACTCTTGTGGCCCAACTTTCAGCCAAGCAGTAGATAGCTTTATAGGGAAGGTCAACACTAGTAAGATATGCTCACCATGGAACAGTCAATCATTCAAAATCAAAAGGGCAACATTTACCTAAGGACAAAGTTGAGAAGGGACGGGAACATGTGTGGAATGGAAACAGGAGCCTCAGGGAGGAAGCCGGATAACTGTTGTTACATGAAGTAGCTTGCAATCATTGAGATGAAACAGTGTGTAACTTGTTGAATGTAACACTGATGATCTTGTCTGTAAACCTTCATTCAATTCACAATAGAAGTTTTTTTTAAAAAAGAAGAAAAAAAAAGACCTCTAGAGCAAAGATGTCACTTTTGAGGACTAAGGTGTACCTGACCCAAGCCAAGGTATTTTTAATTGCCTCATATGCATATTAAAACTGGACAATGAGTAAGAAAGACTGAAGAATTGATGCCCTTGAATTATGGAGTTAGTGAAGAATATTAAATATATCATGACTCGCCAGAAGAACAAACAAATCTGTCTCAGAAGTACTGCCAGAATGCTCCTTAGCAAAGATGGTGAGACTCTGTCTCGTGTACTTTGGACATGTTATCAGGAAGTATCAGCTCCTGGAGGACATCACAATTGGTAAAGCAGAGAGTCAGCATAAAAAAGAGGAAGATGCTCAACAACATGGATTGACATAGTGGCTGCAACAATGTACTCAAACACAGTAACAATTGTGAGGATGATGCAGGACCAGAAAGCATTTCATTCTGTTGTACATAGATAGCACTGCCATGAGTCAGAAGCAATTCAAAGGCACCTAACAACAACAAATGAAATAGATTCCAGCATTAATGGATGTTAAAACCATCAGATTAAAGGTTGACAGTGAACTTTAAAATACAGAGATCAGGTTCAACTGAACTCACCAAATAATCTTGGCTCCACCAAAAGTGAAACAACACTAAAATCCAAACCCACTGCAGTTGAGCTGAAGCCGATTTATGGTGACCCAACAGGACACAATAGAACAGCCCCCAGAGGTTTACTGATGAAGATCAAAGAACACAGCCTTCGGTATGGGTTGCATCTCAATGTCAGAAAAACAAAAATCCTCACCACTGGACCAATAAACAACATTCTTGTCAACGGAGAAAAGATTGAAGTTGTCAAGGACTTCATTCTTCTCGGATCAACTATCAACACTCGTGGAAGCAGTAGTCAAGAGATCAGACGACGTATTGCATTAGGCAAATCTGCTGCACAGGAACTTTTTACAGTGTTGAAGAGCAGAGATGTCAGCTTGAGGACTAAGGTGCGACTGACTCAAGCCATGGTATTTTCAATAACCTCATATGGATGTGAAAGCTGGACAGTGAATAAGGAAGACTGTAGAAGAATTGATGCCTTTGAGTTGTGGTGTTGGAGGAGAATATTGAAAGTGCCATGGGCTGCCAAAAGAACCAATAGATCTATTTTGGAAGAAGTGCAGCCAGAGTGCTCCTTGGAGGCCAGGATGGCTAAGCTTCATCTCTCATACTTTGTGGACATATTGTCAGGAGAGAACAGTTGCTGAAGAAGGATGTCATGCTGGGTAAGATGGAGGGTCAGAAACAAGAAGAAGACCCCCAACGAGATGGAACGGCCAGGTGGCATCATTGATGGTGTCAAGTGTGGCAGCAGTGGTGGGGTTGGCCCAGGATTGGACATTGTTTCATTCTGCTGTGCATGGGGTCGCTATGAGTCGGTTCTGACTCGATGGCACTTGACAACAACAACAACAACAATCTTTATAGAAGCAGCCTCAGTTTTCTCCTGCTGATTGGCTGGTGGATTCAAACCACCAACCTTTCAGTAGCTACTGAGCGCTTTACTCACTGCTCCACCAGAGCTTTCACAGATATGCAAGAGCTTCAAAAACTTTGTGGAAAAAGAGATGAAAAGATAATGGAATTTTTCTACTCATTTTTTGAAGCCCCCTTTGTATTCCCACTCATTCTTTAAATATCTGGCTTTAAAATTCTGCATTTCTTTCCTGCTAGTCAAATGTTGTTGCTAAGTGCCATGGAGTCAGATCTGACTCATAAGGACCTTGTACAGGGTTTCCAAGGAGCAGCTGGTGGGTTTAAACTGCCAACTTTGTGGTTCACAGTGCTGATCCACAGCATCACACCATAAGTCTGCTAATCAAATATTCTTTCTTAAATGCTATCCCTGGTTGTTGTGTACTTCTCTAATTTCTTTACTTAAGTGTCTTTGTCTTCTATCTATGAACTTCTTGAAACCATTTAAAATTTTCCTCATCCCCCAATTCCTGACACCTAACAGCACCTACTGTTATTTGTATCGACACTGTATAATGTTTCCAAGGAGCGGCTGGTGAGTTTGAACCGCTAACCTTGTGATTCAAACTGACCTTGCAGCCCAGTGCTTTATAGTCTTTAACGTCAAACTGAATAGGACCCGTATTCAAATCCAGTTTGATTTCAAAACCTGTGCTCTTGCCACTACATTCCATTCCCTCCCCTATTCCCTCATGAGCATCAACTACTGCCAGTAAGCTAGCAGACTATTTTGAGTAAAATCGCCACTTTAATATCTTATAGTGAATTTAGTATTGTTTTCTAGTTAAACAAGCTCTCTTGTTAGAGAGAGCTTTTAATAGCAAGTTTGTACCTTAATGGGACACCAAGGTTCCTACTATCCAACCCATCTCTGAACTGAGCTCAGAACACAGGGGTAGTCCTGGAGACCCAGGAACTCACATTTCAGCGGGATCTCTCTCTCGTGCACAACTGTGAAAGGCAATTTCTCCTGGTCATCCAGAGGCACTGACTCCCGACTAAACACGACAGTGACTGGCACCATGAGCCGCAGCTGCGGGAAAGGAAGGCAGGGCTATCTGCAGCGCCCCCACCTGGCCGGTGGGCTGTCCCCTGCTCCTCCCCAACGGAGTCTCACCTGCAGGGCATTCAGCCCACTGATCTGGGAGTAGGGCAATGGGGCCCGGTAGGTCTCCGTGGTCTTCCACCAGAGTGGCAGCCCCAGCACGATGGCCACAGCAGCGAAGAAGAGGGCGGAGCGTTTTCCCCGGATCACCTCTAGGGACATGGGAGACTGAGGAGTTGGGGCCCAGCTCGCAGGCCCGCCCCAGCCCCGACGTTAAGAGAGACCCAGCAACCGGTGCCCAGGGCCCTCGACCCGCGATCCTAGGGTTCGCCGCCCAAGGGGCCTCAAGTTTGAAGGGACTCTGAGGCGATCCCTGCCACCAAATCTGCGGGATGACCATCCCCAATCCCGCAATCCTCCCTCGGGATCCACTAGACCCAAACCACCATCCACATCCCCCCGCACCTATATCTGTAGCTGCGGCCCCCGTGGCCGCCATGCTCCCTTCCGGCTGTTCCCGGCGCCGGGGGCGGAGCTTCTTGAGGCTCCTCCAATCAGAATCCCGTAAGGGGACGGGACTAAGACCGCAGCCTGTGACGGGTAGCGCCATTGACAAGTAGCACTCCAGACTGGAAGCTAATGTCGGTGGGGTGGCCGGGGTTCCGCCTGGTTCCTCTTGGGAATTTAAAGGTAGGCGTCCTGGGGTGGCGCTGCGGTTACTGCGCTGGATTGCAAGGTGGGTTTGAACCGCAAAGTTGGCGGTTCACGTTTACCAGCTGCTCCTCGGAAACCCTATGCAGGATCGCTGAGTCGGAAACGACTCGCCGGCCTTAACTAGATTGGGGAGGGGCGCTTGCGGGGCTGTGCTGCTTCCAAGGCAATACTGGGGACCCATGATTATAACCTCCCCGCTTTTCTGTAGAACACATTCCCAACTCCAGGGGATAAGAAATTCTTATCTGCAAAAAATTTTTATTTTTATATTTAATAAAATTATCTGTAAATTGCGCAGTAGTTAAATACTATTAGGCGATCATGAACAAATTACTTTAAATCTATGAGCCTCAATTTTCTCATCTGTAAAACGGTGAGAACGTTGGTATAAAGAGCCTCAAAGTACTCAGATGTCAACTATTATCTTTGTTCATCATCCCCTCAGCCTCAAACAGGGCAAGTAGTAAGCTAACACATTTTAGCAAAAGTGGCTCACTCAGCACAATGTTTTAAATTCACTTAGAATTTCCAACTTGTGAAAATCTGGAAAATTCAGCCCAAGGGCCAGGTTCAGAAGGCAGTAAGTTATAGGAAAGAAGGAAGAATGTAAATGGAAAACTCAGGAAGTGGAATAAATAACATTCTGTTGTTAAGTACCTTGGAGTCAGTTCCAGACTCATAGTGACCCTGTATAGGATTTCTCTGGTAGCCTAATTGTTAGGAATCCGGATGCAAACCATATGGTCAGCACATCGAAACTACCAGCTGTTCCAAGGGAGAAAGAATGAGGCTTTCTGCTCCCTTTGTTGTTATGTGCCGTCGAGTTGGTTCCAACTCATAGTGACCCGGTACAGGGTTTCTGAGGCTGTAAATCTTTACGGGAGCAGAAAGCTTTCTCCCGTGGAACAGCTGGTAGTTTCGAACTGCTGACCTTGCGGCTCGCTGCCCGATTTGTAACCACTACGCTACCAGAGCTCCTTTACAGCCTCAGCAACCCTGTGCAGCGTCACTATGAGTCGGAATCGACTCCACAGCACATAACCACCAACCACTGGTGTACTTGAATCACGAACCCTCCAGTTCAAACCTATTTTGCAGTCCAGCACATTAAGTCTGGGGCTTCAAATCAATGGCACAACAGAATGTGTATGAAATGAATGGAAAAAATGATTTGCTCTGTACGCTTTCACCCAATTCACAATTTTTAATTTTTTTAAGTCCTGAAAATTCATAAGAACACAAACTTTGGATCCTGATCCCTTGGGCTCAAATCCTAATTTTACTTCACCTGAGTGATCCTGAACAAGTTAATTAACCTGGGTGGCAGTTTTCTCATATTAAAAGAGGGATAATAGTATTATTTTACAGGATTGTGGTATTAAATTGAGTCAGTGTATATAGAATGACTAAAACAGGGCCTGGCAGGAGTATGTAAAAAGTGTTATCTCAATGGTGGCCTGATGTAGCACTATAGGCAAAGCACTGGACTGCTATCCTCAAGGTCAGTGGTTCAAAGCTACCAGCTGCTCCTAGGAAACCCTATGCAGAGTCACTGAGTCAGAGTTGACTCAACAGCACTTAACATGTTGACTATCTTTGTTATTATAAGGTCAGGCCTACATTCCCACATTGCAACTTGAGTGGAGCATGGTCTCATCAGATCATATAGAATACAGCCACCATGTTCTCTCATCTCTCTGTTTTGCTGGTCTGTTCATATAGATTCTGGTGTTCCGCTTACCTCACACTCTAGCCAAGTGATCATAGTTTTGCATGAGACCCTCCCAAGTCTACCCTGGCCCAGACTCCCAAGCTGACTCCCTCTCTGCTTCCTCCTTCTCCAGACAGGAGTGGGCTATAGCACTTGGTAACCTCCTGGGTACCATGTTCAGTCTAGCAGTCTCTAGAGCCTTGGGGGTTTTCTCTTATAGTCCAGGTGCTCCTGCAGTAGCTTCTCCTTAGCTGAATATGTCAGACCCCTACAGGGCTCTACAGAGACTCACAGCTTGCTTCGTTTGTTTGGGGCCTTGCACACAATATGCCTTTAGTTGCTATGGCCTTGCCTCACTCCATTCTTCAGCAGCTACAGCCTAATGCCTCTAATGTGACAGTTCACAGAAGACTTGCAGCCCCTTCACACTGTTCTATAAGTATCACCAACCTGAGCTAGTGATGATGAGTGGGTTGTGCCTGCTGTCGCCCATAAACTTGAAGCCCAGTGAAATTCAAAACTCATCCTCTCTACCACAGTCTCAGGGCCCAGAGACAGAACCAGCAAAGATCAGAAACTGGCAGATAGCAATTCGAGGTGGAAAACAGACAGACAAAGTAGCATGTTTGCTACCATTTATTTTGCTCTATGGTATGTAATCAGGGTATGAATAAGGGCTGATGTCCTGCCCTCTGGTGCCAGAAGAGAGGACAGGCAAGAAGCAGAGTCCAAGGAGAAGCTACCCATCGTGAGGAAATTACAAATGGTACAGGGGCACAAGAAAACCCAGACATCCTGCTCTGACTCCTAGCAAGTCCTCCTGCCCTCGGTCATCAGGTGCTCCTTATCTTCCCATCTTATGGTCTCAGATCCAGCAATGGTAGAAGGGAAGGAAGGAGTGAAAAGGAAGAAAACTCAGCTCTGAATTGAGGCCCTCTGCTCTAGATGGCCATTTGGCCTGAGCTATAACTACAGGCAAAATTGGGTACAGGTGGCCAGATCAAGGGCCATGGTGTAGAGTGGGTGCTCAGTAAGCATGGTTGGCAACGTAGAGGGACTGTGCTGCCGCTCCTCCATCTTCACTGCCTTCATACTTCCCCTGGGCTGCAAGCCCGTTCACCTGTGCAAAGGAAGAGAGAGGAGAAAGGTATGTAAGGGACATCAGCTGGACACAGACTGAACCAGTTCATAGGTTCCAAACCTTTCCCAGGCCTCCTGCCCAGCTACACACACACAACCTGCTTATTACCACCTCTAACTCCCAACCTCAGCCCGCTTGATGAATTCTTCAGTGGCAGCCCCAGCATTGTCCTGCTGTCCTCGCCAGGCATTGAGTGCAGAGGCTTGTAGGGCACGCCCATAGGAGAAGGTGAGAGCCCAGGGCCGGGGAAGGGGACAGCGGTTGATGGCATTAAGGTTGAGCGATGCCTCCTCTTCACTCTGACCCCCAGACAGGAAAGTCACACCTAAGGGAGAGGAATGAAGACAGCTGATTGGTCATTATTTTCCCAAGGCAGGAGACCCTGGAAAGCTACAAGAACTTGATGATGGGTCTTAGGGAGAGAAGCAGGTTAGAAGTAGGCCAGTACCTGGAACAGCTGGGGGCACAGTACGGCGCAGGGCAGTGACAGTTGCCATGGCAATCTCCTCTGGGCTATACTTGATGGGACAGGCATGGCCAGGGGTCACCATATTGGGCTTCAGCAGGGTTCCCTCCAGGTAAACATGATGATCACTCAGGGCTTTGTACACAGCAGCCAGGACCTGGGAGTCAGAGGAGGTTTCTAAGGTTCTAGGTCCCTTACTGATTCACTTGTTGCTCTACACTCCACACTCCAGTCTGGGGGCTAGAGGAGAGTATCAATTGTATAGGCTTTAGACCTACAGGTCTGTTTTGGGACCAAGTAAAGAGTCCTTGGGAAAGTATATTGGGACCGAAGCCAGGGGCTATGGGGGACAGGCTGTTCCTGAGGTACATGTCTGTGCCCAGGTGTGAACTCACCTTCTCTGTAACATACTGGCAGCGTTTGAGGTCATGGTCTCCATCAGGCAAGATTTCAGGTTCCACAATAGGTACAATACCATTCTGCAGGTAAGAGCAGAGTGGCTTGGGAGGGACAGTAGGTAGGATGGGAGAAAGCCCTGTAACCCTCTCCCACCAGGTATAGGACACCCATCCTACCATCGTGCCCCACATATACACACCTGCTGGCAGATGCTGGCATAGCGGGCCAGCACGTTGGCATTTTCCAGAATGGCAAGTGCTGAGGGCGTGCGCTCGCTGATTTTCAGTACACAGCGCCACTTGGCGAAGTCGGCACCATCCTTCTTGTACTGGGCACAGCGTTCTGAGAGCCCATCCAACCCTGCAGGCACAGTGCCAGCTTCACCATCCTGCCCCTTCACCATTTCAGCACCCCTATGGTCCTGATGCCTATCCACCCTGTACCTTGAGTGGTGGTTTCTCCATCAGTCCCAGCTAGAGGTACCACACCCTTGTCAACCTGTAGGGGGCACACATGCAGAGAGCTGAACTCGTGCAGGAACCACTTTGCTACCCTCTCCTACACATATCCAACCCTTACCCAGGGTCAATGACTGCACCTTGATGCCCACGACAATACCCTTCTCCTGGATCGTACGGACAAAGGGGACGCCATTATCATTTTTCTGGTAGAGAGTCTCGTGGAAGAAGATGACACCTCCAATGCACTTCTTCACTCGGTTATCAGCACTGAACAGGACCTGGCGGTACAGCCGGCGGTTCTCCTCTGTGTTTTCTACCCCAATTTGGCTCAGCCGCTTGGCCATGCTACCTGAAAGCACACAAGGAGGGCAGCAAGGCCATCCCCCGGGCTCTCTGAACACCTATACCCACTTAGCCACAGGTTTCCACCTACCTACAGACTCATCCGCAGCTAGGATGCCTTTGCCTGGAGCCACAATGCGAAGGGTAATGTCAGACAACTCCTTCTTCTGCTCAGGAGAAAGCGCTGGGTACGAGTGGGCCATGGCAATGGTTCTCTGGAATCCAGACAAGATCCACTCACTACATCTTCTACTTCCTCTCCTGGCCAGATGGGCCAAATAGCCTGTCTCCCCAGCATGGGGCTTAGAATCCAACAGTACTTGGCATGGATCCTGGGAATCAAAATGGCACCAATCCCTTTGACAGTTAGCAGGCTGAGAGGCCCAGTTCCTACTTTCACTGGTGAGCACCCTTCTCAGCCCCAGGGAAAGATGCAGCGTGGGGATAAGTAGGACAGCAGCCATGAAGCTACAGGTCTTATGAAACTGCCCAATCGAGAATGCCAACGCTTTTTCTACTGAGTTCAATCCTTTCCTGAAGTTGGCATAAACTCTGGTCTTCTAACTTCTCTTTTTTCATTCTCAGCAGGGCCCCTAGGGACACTGCACTTACTTCCAAGACTTCAGAAGGAGGCAAAAGTGCACATCATTTCACCTGCTTCCCTCAGCTTCTGGGGCAAACGGTTGGAAGGAGGAGGCAGATAGGGAATAGAAGCGGTACAAATGACAGTCACAGGCTTCCATAACCTCTTATTTTCCAGACCTTAAACTGCCTTTGCCTTTCACCACCCTAGTGCCAGAGGCTGGCCTCTATGCACTGCATAAGTGTTGGGGGGGTGGGGAAGAGAGTCACTAGATCACCTAGGTTAGTATGGGAAGACTGGGGGCAATGACACCACCAGGTTATCCCCAGTGCCCAGAAGCACTTGCTCTGTGTGGAGGAAGGGATGGTTAATACGGAGCATTTCAACTTCCCAGAACTCAGACCTCAGAGAGGAGACAGGGCCAGAGAGTCTCAGGAAGAATGAGTTGTTGAGGCCACAAGAAAGGTAGAGACTCTAGGGAGGTGTTTTTAGGAGGTGTTTGTGAGACAGACTAGGTAGTCAGGGGAAAGAAAGGATCTAGAGTTGGGGGGTGCAGGGAGACACGCCACAGGAGGGCAAAGAGAAAGGGAGAAAAGCCCTAGCCTAGGAGGGAACAGACAAAAATTTAAATGGTCTTGGTGGTAGAGGCTAAGCTCAAGGAAAAAGTCTAGGAGGCAGAGGACTTGCAATTAAGAAAACTAAGGTCCCTGTTGGAAAACTAAGAGAACAGGGCAGAAGAAACCTAGAGAGGCAGAGTTATGGAGATTTAAGTCGGCAGGAAAGAGCAAGGATGTAAGGAGAGCACTGAAAAAGACACATCCAGGGGTCCCAGGGAGCAGGACAAGGAGGGCAAGAATAATCAGGGAGAGGAAGCGGAGATGCTGAGCGGCTCCCGCCTCTCCTCTCTCCCGGGGCCTCACCTGTGCGCAGCGAGTAAGCGGTGACAGCCACAGGAATGGTCAGGTCTAGTCTTCCACAGCTGCAGGTCCAGACCTGGCTCTGGTAAATAAGGCTGAGGATGCCGCAGAGCTACGTGACTCCCCCAGGGGGCGGGACCGGCAATTCCCACCCTGACCACACCCCCTCCCAGGACTGGTTCTGCAGCAAGACCACACCCATGGGGCGGGACGATGAGGTGGAGTGACCACCCTGTCAGGATCTCCAGGCAGTAATTCTCACACACACCCCTCCCCTGTGGAACTCTGCCACTAGGGCCTCAGAGCCAGGAAATGGGCTTGCCCTCATTTCTATCACAATCACTTTCCCACGTGCCAGGTGTTGTACTGGTTTTTGCAAATAAACCCAGTCCCAAGAAGAAGGAAGTCAACAGTTACAGCAGGTGGGGTAGGTGGGACAGAGGCACCAACAAAGTGTCAAGAGGTCTAGCAGGGAGTAATGAACTGAACTTTTGGTCCCCACCCCCTTTTTTCACCAGGGCCCACCCCCAGGAGGATGGGGGAAGTGGGAGAATGAGGCTTTCTGTTTCCCTAAGGCCTAGAGCCAGGGAACAAGCAGTCCAGTGCCCAGAGGATTTGGGCAGCAGAAGGAGGAGGAGGGGCAGGCAGTCATGGACGCAGAGGGGTGGAAAGTGGGGAGTACCCAGGTAGGGGGGCCAAGTTGCCCCTCTCCTAACCTCAGCCCGCTCCCACTCAGGAAATAAGACTTAGTGAGCTAAATCTTATTAACAAATATATTTACACTTTATTTAAATAGCTTTAAACAGAAGAGGCTCTATGCCAGTTGGTCCTGGTGTTGGGGTGAGGGGACAGTACAAGGAAAAGTGGTGAAGCAGGTTCCAGCTTTCAGTTACTCAGCTCAGAAATTCCAATAATTCTTGTAGCTCCTTGCAACCACTTACCACCTCTGGGATGGACTGCAGAGTCTGGGAAGAGAAATAGAAAAGGTAGCGCAGGGCCACAGGTCACAGGCCTGGGGCCCCCACCCCGCAAAAGCACCCACCGAACTAGAGGGGAGAGGTGGAAGCCACAGAGAAGCCTGCAACAGTGAGTCAGGCCGAGCTCTCAGCACAGACTGCAGATGGAGCTACCATTCATCAGGAACTCAAAGGGCCTGGCCTCTTGCCAGGTGCCTTGTTAAGCGCCATTGAGTCGGTTCCGACTCATAGTGACCTGGTACAGGATTTCCAAGGAGCAGCTGGTGGGTTTAAACTGCTGACCTTGTGGTTCACAGTCCAGTGCTGATCCTACAGTGCCAGTTATACCAAATCCCTCCCTCTTTACCTCATAAATATGCTGTACAATGTCATCTAGTTTCTTTAACTCCTTGTCAGAGCGCCGAAGATTCTCCTCCAGGATATTTCTCTAGAAAGTAAATAGGTTTCATAAGCCCTATACTATATTTTGGTGGGGCAGGGAATCTATGACAGGTACTTGCTGGTGAGAAATGGCCTTAGCACAGAAGTTCTTACATGGCTCTGGAACTTGACCTTGAGTTTTTCCTTTTCATCTTTCATCTCTAAGAACATCACTCTCAGCTTGTCCACCTATAAACATGGCCAAATCAGACGTGCACAGCCCAGGATCCCCACTATCTACCCAGCTCCTATGTTACTGCTACACAGCACTTTGCCCCTTGGAAGATGTTTCCAGATTTCTCCAGACACTAGTCACCTCCTGGGTGAGCCACACTTTCTCTTGGATCCAGTCAGTAGCCATGGGCTGACAGTCTGGGTCTAGCTGGCCTGCCATTGTCTCCCGGAGAACCTTAGTCTCTGTCTCTGCACGCCGAAGTGAGCGGGTAAGCTGGGCCACCTCCTCTCGAAGGCTCTAGGTGTGAGAATAAAGAGGTGGTCAGTTCTCAGAGGTCTTCACTATCCTTCTAATCCCATGTGGTAGGCCATGGAATTCAAATCCCATATTCAGGCTCCCGGCTACCATTGACACAAAGCTGGGCATCATGACAAACATACTATAAGCTCTCCACTCTTGTCAATTTGCTCTAGGATCTTCTCGTTTTGCTGCTGTATCACTTCCTGGAGCTCCTTTTCATTCTGTGAGGGCAGGGAGGTGAAAAGGCACTGAGAGAGCTGGCTTCTTTACACCCTTGCCAGGAGATACCTGTCCCATGCTAAGCCCAGGTGGTTTCAAGTGATAACACCCCAATTCATCCCATAGGGCTACTAAGTAAGGCAAGGCACATTTTCAGTGTCAAAACGGTTCTAGAGTTCCTGCCTTTTCTCCTTGGTCTGCCTGGGGAGATGGGTCAGCCATAGCTGATTCCCAAACATGTGAAATATCTGATCCTAGGAAAGATAAAACTAGGGCAGTGGTTGGAAAATCCCCACCACCCAGATTTCTGGAGAGAAAATGGCTCCCAGTGGGCCCGGAGAGCTGCCCCAGTTCTTTTTACTGCCCCATTTTCAGGCCCCTCCTTCACCTTGTAGCGCAAGCACAAGGCCTGGTTCAGTTTTTCTATATCTGCTTCCTTAGCCTTCTGGACCTCCTGATACTGTTCTTCTTGGGCCTGCAGCCTATCCTGCAGATCACAACTAGGGAAAGGAAGAACTCAGCATTATTGCTGTTCTCTCACGGACTCATTAGGTCTCTGATATAAGGGACTGTCTGCTTGACCGACTCTCTCATCAAGACTGCATTCTACTCACACTTTTTGCTGAAAAGTTCTGATAGCATCCTCTTTAGATTCTTGCAGTTGGGAACACAGGCTCTGAAGCTCAAGAGTCATAAAATGCATTTCTGCCAGGCTTTTCTCTGTATCTAGGGCCTCTAAAAGAGAAAGTTCTAGATAGAGGTAGAGTCCTTCTGCTCTGCAAAGAGTATATAGCAATCATCCCTACAACTCTGACCTGTGTCCCACCCCTAGGATCTGAGGTCCAGGACATTACAGATCCCAAAAGGCAGAAATAAAATGAGCCCAAGTAGAATTGAGGTTTTTAGAGCAAAGTACGTGTCACTGCTCTAGTCTTCACTTATCACCAACATATTTTCTAGAAATGAGGCAGGATCCCTGGAGCCCATCCTAACCTGTAGGCTGAAAGGAAACCATGGCTGCTACCCGGGTGAATGCACTCTTGTCACTTCCAAGCAAGGGCACAGGAGCGGACTCTGTCTCTAAAATAAAAATCAATCATGGGCGAGAGCCTCTCCGGTGACCCAGTCTTAAGGGCAGCCATAATAGAAGCCAGGAAGAAACAGGAAGGTCTATTAGGGAGCATCTTCAACAGCTGAAGGTATCAGGAGTAGAGTCATAATGTTCCCACCCCTCAAATCCCAGGGTCTTTAACCTTTATCTGTCGTTGCTGTCAAAGTGCTCCCCAAAAAGGTGGTGTTAGTGGGGGTAGGGTGTTCCTGGGCAGGAGCACAAGCTGTGTTCATAGGAAGGGCTTCTGGTTCAGCCTGAGGTAAAGGAAAATAAATGACAAGGATTAGTGATTTTCCTGAGCTCACCACCACTGTTGAGTCAATCCTAACACACAACAAGTCTATAAGACGGAGTAGAACTACCCCACAGAGTTTCCAAGGTTGTAAATCTTTAGGGAAACAGACTGCCGTATATTCTCCTGGTGACCAATGCGATTTGGAGTAAGGCAGAAGAGTGAACATTGCCCTCCATTGCTGGGAAGATGGGGACACTTGTCTAGTATTGGGGTTAGCAGGTTTCTCATAAAGGATGATATAGCAAAATTTTCAGCTTTGCAGGCCATATGGTTTCTGTCTCAATTAGTTACCTCTACTCTTAAGCTCAAGGTGCTCTGGTCACACAGTTGGTTACAAGTTGGGTCGCTCTAACCACAAGACTGGCAGTTCAAATCTACCAGCCTTTCCGTGGGAGAAAAATGAGGCTTTCTCCTCCCGCAACAATTTGGTCATTGGTAGCTGTCTGCTATTGAATAAGTTCTGACTCACATGAACCTCTATAGGGTTTCTGAGGCTACAAATCTTTACAGCAGCCCAACTTGTAACCCAATACACTACCAAAGTTCTATTTTACCTTCTAAATAGGTATTGATTTGACAGCAATCATTTAAGTTTCTTCTTCACTTCCTGTTCTCCAAAGCTACCATGCTGCATATGAGTAGGGCCTTACCTTGTTCAGTTCTTAGTCCCAGCACTTTACCCAGATCTTGCTACAAGGAAGACACACTTCAAATAATTTTAATATACCTTATGGCTCTGTGGGAGGCCTCCCTATATACCTACCCATACCCTGCCAACTTCTACTTAACCTCAAAGGTCAGCTGCTTGGAGAAGACCTCCTAGCCTCTCTTTCAGGTAAAACTGGTCCTCCTTTCTCTGTGTCCCCTCAGTGGTACATGCAGATCTCTATCATAATCACAATTCACGATGACATGTCTACATCTGTCTGTCTTTCCTGCTAGACTATGGATTCTTTGGCATTTTCTTGTGCTCAGCACAAAACTAGGGGAAAAGGTCAGACTATAAGCATTCATGTTTCAGATTTCCTGGTTGTACCTTTAACTGTTAAATAAGCTAATGAACTCTATTCTGAGGGATATCAACAAATTTATTATATAGTGTACACTACTGGGGAGTCAAAGCTCTCAGACTAAATTTCAGCTTTTTAAAAATCATAATCTAGCTGATTCCAGTGCATAGAAATCCCCCAAACAAAATTCCAGGAAAATTAATACAAGTAGAAAAGGAGAGTAAGTTCATGAGGAATGTGGCAAAAGAAGAGAACCCCGAGTCCCCACACTCTGGTCCAAAGCAAAAGTAAATGCTCCATTGCCACACCGCAAGCGTTGGCAAGGCTTAACGGCTCTCACAGAAGGTGAACAAAGGAGGAGTTTCATAGGGAAGAAAAAGGTATTTCCAGTTTGAAGACAGAAGACAATGGCTATGAATGAAGATGAGACCTATGTATTGTGTATAGAGTGCCTGGTTGGATTAATAAGGAATTAGGAGACTGGTGAAGAAAGATTGGAGTGATAGGCAAAAGAGGTCTGTAGGCAACTGGAAGTCACTGAAGGTCACAGAGATGAACAAGAAAGTGTTTTAGGAAAACCATTCTATAAAATGAAGATATAATTGGGAGGGAAGAGAAGGAATCCCAGAAATCTACCTCCTTCTTTAGTTTTTTCTGTAAGAAGAGGGTCAGACTCTGTAGTTGCTCAGTGAGCATCCCGAGCTCATGGGAATACTTCCGTGTCTTCTCCAGGTCATGCTCCTGGCTCTCTGCTACAGTGTTAGCCAGTTTAGCCCTGAAATAAGGAAGGAACATGGAAGATGGCCAGGAACCAAGCTACGTCCTTTGAATACCTCTTCCAAATCCTCATACAGAACAGCATTCAAAAAGAGAAACAAGAGGCTCTTGGGCTCTGTTGCAATTCCTTTCCTGGAGACTTTGGCATTTAGAAAGGTTCCTGGGAAAGATAAGCACTGAAGGGAAGCAGAAAATGGTAGAGCTCTTACTTCAAGTTCTCTACAGTGTCCTTGAGGTCTTCACACTGTAGACTGCGCTCCCGGAGCACTTCCAACGTGTTTTTCAATTGACACTCAACCTGGCCCAGCTCCAGGTGAGCAACCTGATTCTCTTGGTCTGCAAACTGGGAAGACAGGAAAGGGAAGGGAAGCAACACAGAAGAGAAGAAACATGGGTCCAAGTGGGGAATTATAGAGCCCTGGGGACAGAGGTTTTTTCTAGTCCAAAGCCTCAAATCTCACCTCAATAACATTAGGCAAGAGTCAGACTCCTTAAGTTTTCCAGTCTCCCTGCACTAAACCATATATTCCTTACCTCCAGGGTCTCCTTTAGGTCCTGGACCTCCTTGCTCAGGACAGTTTGTTGTTGTTGCAGCTCTGCCTGCATCTGTTTTAGTGCCATCTCTTCCTCTTGCCATCTGCCAAAAACTTTCTATTAGATTCCATTTGGTCCTACATCCTGAGTGCCTACTGCCACCCTAACCTGATAGGAACTCACCGAGCAGCCTGCTCCTCACTGCTGTGGGTGAGCTGGCAAAGCAAGTCCTCCTTCAGAGCCAGCTCCTGGGTACAATGAGCATGTTGACCCTGTAGTTCTTTTAACTGACTCTCCATGCTGGCCAAAACCTGCAGCTGAGCCTGGAAATCTAGGCCAAAAGTATCCTAATGACACCATGTGATTGCCAGGCCAGAACCTTCCCACACTTCTCTGAAGAAAGTGTTCCACAGCACTTTCTTGGATACTCTAACAGCCGAAGGCTTAACAGAGCTTGCACAAATATTCACCTGCTGTTAGATGGCAGTTTTCCAATTCTAGTTGCTCTATTTGGCCTTTATAGTCTTCTAAATGAGTAGAGACTTGTTCCAGCTCCCTGGAAACCTAGGAAAGGAAGAAAACAAAGATTCCCTAAGCAGTTCCCCCTGACTCAGGAGTTCTGGATTCAGTGCAGCTTCTGCTTCTGGACAATACAGCAAACCACTTTCTCCTGGGGAGCAACACTACAGCAAACTAGGCTGATTTTCAGGAAAAAATAGACAGGAGAAAAGTTGCTGAAGTAAAGAAGATACTGGAAGGCAAAGGAAACAACTAGGGGCAAGTTCATCTTATAGATAAGGAACGTGGCTGGTCTTCAAACTTACAGAGTGGAAAGAAGAAAGGTCTAGGCTAAGAAGCTAATGATGCCACTCATTAGAAAGACCTTCTGCAGAGAAAAGGAGGGATGGTGGGCCCAAGAGTCCCCACTTAGTTTGTACCTTCTGATTTTCCTCAACTGCAGCATCACGTTCCTGTAGGTACTCCCGGCTCTTGGCTGCAAGTTTCTCCAAGAGTTGTCGACACCGACTCAGCAAAGCAGTCCATGTTATATACTGCCGGGAGAAGCAGGCAGGTCAGGAGAGTATAGTTGAACCAAGGCTCCTAACAGAGCTGGCTGTGAATAAGAGAGTAGCATGATAGTCCTGGTGTGTGGCATTGTGGGTTAATGCACTGGACTGCAAAGTTGGTTTGAACTGCAAGGTCAGTGGTTCAAGCTTACCAGCCACTCCTCGGAAACCCTATAAAGGGTCACTATGGGTCAGAAACGACTTGACAGCACTTAACAACAACAAATGATAGCCCCAAGGAGACCTGGTGGTGCAGAGAGTTAAGCTTTGAGTTGTGAAAGGAACGATCAGTGGTTCAAACCCAGCAGTCACTCCTCTAGAGAAAGATGAGACCGTCTGCTTCCATAAAGATATACAGCCTAGACAATTCTATGGAGCAGTTGTACTCTGTCTTAAAGGGACACTATGAGTTGGAATCAACTCAATAACAGTGGTTTATGTATTTATTTATTTGTATGACGGCTCTAAATACTCACATCTAGCTGCATGGATATCCAGTCCTGTTGCAAAGTAGACGTAAGGCTCACTGTCTGCTGAGCCACCTCTTCTTGCTCTGTGTGAAGCCTTACCTACAGGAGAAGGATGGCCTATGAAAGAATTGCCACTAGATATAGCATAGTGGGAGGATGTGACTATCCTCCCAATGCATCAATGTAGACTCCAGGAAAGAGAATATTCCTTCCAATTACCAGCTGAGCCTGGGTCTCATTCAGCAGAACTCTGAATTCCCGCATGGATGTCAGGTCCTGTTTCAGTTGGCTGATCTTCTGGCTGGCGTGTGCACAGAAAGCCTCTAGCACGGCCTCTGCCTATTTAGGGAAGATGATATGAGAATAGAGAGGGCAGGGGAGAGAAACAGGGCCAAAAGCCATAATTACCCACCACCCCAGTAGCTGAGTTCTTTATTTCTGTCCCCAGGACAGGCAGTTCTTAACCTACCCATCTGTCTCAAGCGAATTTGTGTTCCTGAAGAACTCTCCCACAAGGTGGGTAGACTTTGAGGGCAGTGCACTGGATAGAGCACTGCCCACATCTAGAACAAGAGCGTAGCACCTGTGGTACATATATATGATGAAATATTATTCAGCTATATGGTTGTTGTTAAGTGCCGTGGAGTCATTTTGTACTCATAGCAACCCTGTAGAGGGTTTCTGAGGTGCAGCTGGTGGGTTTGAGCCACAGAGCTTGTGGTAAGCAGCTCAGTGCTTATCCTACAGCATCATAAAATAGAATAAATTCTGATGCATGCTATGAACATGGATGAACCTTGAAAACACTGTGTCAAGTGAAAGGAATTAGGTACAAAAGGATAAATATTATATGATTCCACTTGTATCTAGAATAGGCAATTTCACAGAGACAGAAAGTAGGTTAATGGTTACCAGGGATTGGGAGAAAAGCGGAATGGATATAACAGAATTTCTGTTTGGAATGATGAAACTATTCTGGAAATTGATAGTGGTAGGTTATGCAATGCTGTGGATGCACTTAATACTATTGGATTGTACACTTTAAAAGTGATTACGATGATAAACTTTACGTTATATATATTTTACTATGATAAAAAAGAAAAGAAAATAGGCAAAGGAAAGAAAAAAAAAAGCCTGACACCTTACCGCCTCCTTGCCTCTGAGAGCCATTTCCTCTTTGTGCCTTGCTTCCTCCCTTTCTGCTTTGAGGCTCTGAACCTTTGCCCTAGATTTCTTCAATACATCAAAACAGCAGGAGACCAACGTTTCTGCTCTCTGAGACTACAAGATTAAGAGTCAGATGTCATCTAGTCCTTTTTGGTTTTGGTTTTCAGTCCCACCAGAAGCTTCTACCTTGATCTTCATGCTGCTTACCTCCTGATTCACAGTAGTTTTATCTTCTTCTAAGTGCAACAGAGATAGGCGAAGCAAGGACATCACCTCTTTAGAGACCAGCACCCATGATTGCTGTGGAGAGAAAGATGGCTAGGCTAGGTCGAACAGCCACTGAGAAGGAAGCTAGCAGGAACACTGGGAAGGAAAGGCACTGACCCTAGTTTCAAGCTCCCAATAGAAAAGGAGATGTCCAGAACAAAGGTTTGAAAGCCTCCCTTCAGTATCATGGCTGAGTACCCCCCATCTGCTAACCACCCAGATTCTCATTCATGATCTTCACAGGAAACTCAGTGATGGTGTGAGGCAAGTCAACACTTACCATGACATTCCTGGCCTGCTGCAGAGCTTGTCCAATCTCTTGGCAATTCTGAAGTTGCTGAGATTTCTTAGTTACCTAGCCAGAGAAACAGATTCTTCGTTTTGAGAAGGTAACTTCAATTCTTCCTCCCTCCACCTCCTAAGCTACTGGGGCCTATGAAAAGCAAGAGCAAGACTCACAGCTAGAAGTCATCTCAGGAAAAAAACAACCAGCGCCCCTTCCAAGACTAAGACTCAATGGAATACACGCTCTGATTGGTGAAAACGCTCGTCACCGACAAGGGGAAGTGAGGGGAAAACAACAATGAAGTGGCGAGCTAAGCCCTACAATATGGAGAGTGAAGCATCCAGCTGATAAGAAGAGAGGGCATATGCATAAGAACACCCACACTTGCAGGTAATACCCACTTGACCTAGCTTCAATGACTGGATGATCAGAGTTAAACTAGATGAAGAAAGAAAAGGAAAAAGAGTAATCTGATGCAATTTGACGAACTTGACCTACACCTATGGAAGCAGTAGGTCAAAAGAGGGAACAAATCCTTACAGCAAGGATCATTCCCACCCCTTCCACACAGAGTAGAGAGGGATGGGCAACTTGGACATTGGCTACCCAAAATGGAGGGGTGGGGGGCTACAAAGGCAAGAAGTGATTGGCTTACAAGCTTTCAAGAGGGAACCTAGAGACAGGGGGCCTGGAGGAAGGCAGAATCTCCAGTGAGTAGCATCCAATCTGCCTAGGCAGGGTTGATGAAATGAAATGCAGATGGGTCTCTTGTGATACAATAGTGAATCATTGTTATCAGGACTGATTGTGAAGGTTGGAAATGTAAAGGTAGACATTTTATAGCAAGGAAGGAAGTGATTAACTTTTCAATCTAGGAGCAGAGGTCCCTAGGACCATCAACAAAGAGCCAAGAGCGGGACCCTACCCAGAGCAACAGTGATGCCTGAGATGGAGGCAGAGACAATGACGTGGAGCGATAGAGCATCTGGGGGCTTTAGATCCAGAGAGGGAGAGGGATTGTGTGCTGAAGACTTGGGGGGGATAGTGTAGGGGGGCAGGCTTGCAGGGTATACCCTTTGGTTGGTTGATGATGCATGGAGGGGATTGTAACCATGGCAATGATACGATGTACGATAGAATGAATGTAAAACTAATGTTCTCTCATGTAAACTATCATATAATTCACAATAAAACACTAAAAAAAAATCTTTTTTATAATAATGATTATTTTGGTTTTCCTAAGCATAAACATGACACATGTTCTGAAGATAGTGGAAGGAAGAAACAGGGAGGAGTGAATAGAGGTAAATACTGTTCACTGATGGAGGAGTTAATAGTATTTAACTCTTCATGAAGGAGACTACAATCATTGCAATGAAATGAAGTGTGTGATTAGTTGAATGTGGGACTGATGATGTACTCCATAAACCTTTATTTAATTCACAATAAAAAGGTTTTTCATAAAAAATTAATACATGTTCATTATAAAATTTAGGAAAATATGGAAGTGAATAAAAAAGGCAATGTTGTTGCTGTTGTTAAGTGCTTTTGAGTCAATTCTGACTCATAGTGACCCTGTAATGGGTTTCTGAGAAGCACCTGGTGAGTTTGATCCACCAACCTTATGGTTTGCAGTCCAGTGCTTATCCTACAGCACCATACCAGGAATCCAAGAAAGCAACAGAAATCATTAATTTCATCACCTAGTGTAGAGTAGTGATTCTTAACCAACAGTATAGCACGCACCCTAGAGACACCAGTATACCTGCATACCAGAAATTTCCTACGGAGACTTCTTGCAACTAATGAGTATACTGTGTCTCTCAGATGTCAGGGGTAAAAAAAAGTTGTAGACCACTGATTTAGAAAAAAACTGCATACTCAGTAAATTCTAATATGAATATTCTTTGACATTTTAACATCTCTGAAATTGACATCCTCCAGTGCTATAGTAAGTACCTACAATTTTCATGGATTTCCCAGATCCTTAGCTTCTCTATATATAACCTCTTCTGAGAATGAGCCTTGGTTAAGAGTCCCCTTATATCTTTGGGCAGTTTACAGTCTAAGACAGAGGGACCACTGGGATTCTCTAAGCTATAGGAGGAAACTTCTTACCCCACTGGAAGAGTTGTTAGCCTGTGTACTACTGTCCTGCACTTCTGGGTGAGGGACAGCCAGCTGACTCTTCCAGTCCCGCAGCTGGTGAGAAAGAACCTCCAAAATGACGAGAGAACTCAGCAGGTTCTCTTCTAGGTCATGCCGAGACAAGGTAGTCAGATCTGGAGCGTGGCTGCCGTAGGAAGAGAAGAACATGAGGAGGATAAAAGGAGAGAAAAGGATGGGAGTGATGGGTATATGCCCTGGAGTCACAAGGCTTTAGGGACACTTACCCCCACATGAGGTGCTCTGTCTCAGAAGTACTATCCTTAGTGGCCCCCAGGTCTTTCTGAGATGTGTTTGTACTCTTTTCCTGTACTGCTGGGGGAGTAAGCCAAGTCCCCACTGAGCAAGTAGAGAAGGGGGAAGTGCCAATTGCAGCATCCCGAAGCACAGAAGGGAGAGATAAGCTCTGGTGGAGATTTTCTAGCATGACTGAAGTATTTACACCTTTTTCCAGCCAAGCCAATGGGGACATCCAGGGCCCTGTGTCAGACACAAGAATCATACCAGCATTTTCTACTGCTGGGCCTGCAGCAGCCTCAGATTCCATTTCTACTGGATTTGGGATCAGGCATGCTGAGACAGGTGCTTGATCTTCTAATTCAGCCTCTTCAGGGAGAGCTGGAATGCTCATTTCTCTTTCATCTATCATTGTTTTGTGCTCTCCCATCTCTTCCCCCAGGTCCACATGATTGACAGGAAAATCTACTTCCAAAGCAGCTGAAGGTGTATGCCAGAACATGAAGGAGGGCAAAAAGGCATTACTTTCAGAAGTAACTACGCTCTCAGGCACAGCCTCAGTCCTACTGTCTCTGAGGCTTTCCTTGGGGCAGTGCAATTGTTGCTCAGAAGAGGGATTGGGAGGAAACTCCACAAGATTGCACGAAGAATCCTGAAATGTAAGTTTCTCAGACATAGCAGCAACAACTTCTGAAAAGCTATCTTTCCTGCAGGGTGTCATCCCCTCTCTCACTAGATCTCCTGGCAGCAAACACTCATCTAGGGAGATGCTGTTTGTCCCAGTCAAAGCAGCTAAAGGGGCCTCAAGTGGAATGTCTTGTTGTTGGCCCACTGGAGAGTGTACAAGGACCATGGTTTTAACCAGACAGTTGTCCAACGGGTCTACTCCTTCCTCAGATATTTTGGGAGTAGAGTTGTTCTGGGGGATCTGGTCTTGGAGCTGCTCATCTGATTCATGCTGATGAGTTTCCAGCCACTCTGAGGGCAGGCTGAATAGCTCTGATGGAGAATCTGTCCTCTTGGTACTGACAAAATCCAGGGGAGATGAGTAGTTGCTGCTTTTCTGCAAAAGAAAACAAGTAGTTGACTATGACCATTAACTCACATTCTCAATATACAATTATGGATGCAGGATACTGATACTGTCTAAATTCAAAACAAGAAAGAGTTCTCATTACTTTTGCTTAAATAAGAATTTAGCTAATCCTTACTACTTACCACAGAGACCCAATAGGAGGGGAAGAAAAACTGGTAAAGCATTTTAAGCTCTTCTAAGGGACCCAGTCTAGAGTGTGATGAATAAGATTAAGATCATCTGTCCATATCATCAGGTGATGGTAGCTACCTTCAACTCACTTCTGGGAGAACAGGTAGAGATGACCTGTAGGATGTGAGTGAAGGCTCAGATTCCATCCAAATCTAGAGTTGCTACAAGATTTTCTACCTTACAGAACATATAAGAACATGAAGACCCAAGTCAGAGAGCCCTGGGAACAATGATTGGAACAATGTGGGTCCTAGACAGCACTAGTCCCACAGAGATCCACGGACCCCAGGGATAAAGGGTAACATTGACCTATGCAAGTGACGTAATCTCCCTGGCCCCAAGAGGTGAGGGCATCCTGAACTCCTGGGTTGAATCCATTCAACCTTTGGCACTTAGAATCTTTGCAGCAGAGGAGACTGCAGAGCAGAGACTTTCTCTTGGTGTCCTGACAAGGGACTGAAAACCTACTTACTGCTGATTCACAGGGACAGAGACCACTGCACCTTCTACCACTTGGAGGATTACTGCCACTTAAAGTACTCCACTGGCTGGACCTGAGACCCAATGAGCAAGAAAAGGAAAACATTAATGTACTTAAGTGTTTGCAGCAGCCAGAGATAGAACAAATTCTAAAATAGTTAGACCCTAACAAAACAGAGCTGCTGAAAGAGACAGATGAGTACTTGAAAAACAAAAATTGGGAAAACGTGAGTACTTAGGAAGATCCATAGTAAAGGATCAGCAGAAAAGGACCCCTGTCACACTGAGGCGCAACGTATCTACAAGGTGAAAGAAAATCGAGTGAGTCTCAGTGCTTATGGATCTCACAGAAATGTGCTTAAAATCAAACAGTCTATGTGCTTCACTGATGAAGATGCAGTTTATGGTGGAACACTTGACGGAATTTTAACAGTTTCAGAATTGTGTTCTCTGAGAAGATCTCATGCAGAACAAAGAGGCGTTAGCAATACAGCTCAAGATGCCCGAGTTTGGTCCTGAAAAGAATGAAAGTGTGAACTGCCACTGCGTAGCCTGCTTTCTACATTTGATGGGCTTCCAGCAGAGGGCCTGTCCATTCCCTACCTGGGTCAGTAAAACGGACAGGCAAAAACTTGAGAGGCTTTGTTGATGACTTAGATGAATAAAGGAACCCCAGTGCTGATTTGGGGTCCTGGTGTGGTGCTGTGGACTAATGCGTCAGACTGCAAAATCGTTTGAACTGCAAGGTCGGTGGTTCAAGCTCACCAGCTGCTCCTTGGAAACCCTATATAAGGTCACTATGGGTAGGAATCGACTTGACAGCACTTAACAACAAAGTGCTGATTTGAAAAAAAAAAGATCCAAATACATCACCAAAATAAAACCAAATCTACTATTATCGAGTCAATTCCAAAACATAGCAACCGTATCTATACAGGGTTTCAGAGATTGTAAATCTTTATGGGAGCAGACAGCGTCATCTTTCTCCCACAGAGCAGTAGGTCTGAAGCACTGAACCTGTGATTAGCAGCCCATGTTTACCCACAGTGCCACCAAGGCTCTTATCAAATACAACACCCCTCTCCTCCTCCAAAAAAGACTTTCTGAAAATAATAAACATTACGATAAGCACTGGATCGAAAGTTTGTTTGAATCACAAGGTCGGTGGCTCAAACTCACCAGCCGCTCCTCGGAAACCCTATACAGAATCATTATGAGTCAGAAACGACTCAATAGCACTTTATAACAATAACTTGTAAACTAACAATTTCAGTAGAATAAATTGAAAGAGGATGGTCACACTTAAGATTCGAAGATGTCAAAGAACTATCTTAAAACAAAGGCAAAAATACAAAGAAATATAAATCTGAAGGAAGAGCTAAGAGAAGTAGATGATAAATCTAAGAAACATAATATGTGAATAAAAGAAATTCCAGGAATACATGTAGATATTGTTGAATCGGTGAATGTTTTGTTGTATATATTTTACACACAAAAATATTTTATGCCTCAATAAAAATTTTTTTAAAGCTGTTCCAGGAGAAAAGAGAAGATATACAGACGAGGAACTGATTTAACAAATATTAGAAGAAAACGTCCCTAAGGTAAAGAAAGACTTGAGTCTGCATACTAAAATGACTCAAGTTCCAAGCAGGAATAATGAAAAAAAAAAATACATGTCTAGACACTTATAATTGTAAAAATTTTCAGCTACAAAGAAAATGAAACTATTTAGAAACTTTAGACAGAAAGATCAATTACATACACACAAAACTTCCATGAAATTTGATCTTTATCATTTATGGCAATGGTGGTTATATGCCGCGGAGTTGGTTCCGACTCACAGCAACCCTGTATAGGGTTTCTGAGGCTGTAACTCTTTACAACAGCAGACCAACAACCTGAAACTACCATACATGACAACACCACCCAGAACTCTATCTAGATATACTGTTGTTGTTGTTAAGTGTTGTCGAGTTGGTTCCAACCCATAGTGACCTTGTATAGGGTTTCCAAGGAGTGCCTGGTGAGCTTGAAACACTGAACTTGTGGTTTAAACCATCTTTGAAGTCCAGCGCATTAAGCCACAGCACCACACCAGGACTCCCAATCCAGATATTGAAGTATCTGAAGTAAAACAAACCTACAAGACTGAAAAGTGGGAACCAGAGATATTGATTTATAATGAAGTCAACTACAAAGCAGTAACAGGGAATAGTGTAGACACAGAACTTCCAAATGGCAAGAAGTCAAGTTGATTTCAAGACTAAAAAGACTGTTTTAAGCAGGGGGGGGGGAAATTAACAAATTACAGGGTAACCTCAGATAAAAATGATACACCTGTACAGGGGTCCTGGTGTGGTGCTGTGGGTTAATGCATCAGACTGCAAAGTTGTTTGAATTGCAAGGTCGGCGGTTCAAGCTCACCAGCTTTTCCTCGGAAACCCTATACAGAGTTGCTACAGGTAGGAATCGACTCAACGGCACTTAAAAACAACATCAAAATAAAAAAAAAAGGAAAATCAGAAAGATTTATAAACATTAACACAAGAGAATGAAAATGAAAAGAAAGCCCACAAACAAAATGAACTCAGCACAGAAAATTACATGGAACAAAGAATCCAGCAGCACCTCAGAAAAATGACAACAGTCAATTCATCACAATGGATTACTACACCTCACAAGATGGTTGACCCTGGAAGATATTATGCTCAGTGAAATGGGTCAATCACAAAAGGACAAACTGTGCAAGACCAATGTTACAAAAAGGTTTTCTTGATAAAAGAAACAATTTTCTGTAGCAGGTCTGGAGGAGGGGCAGCAGGCGCCATGTCCGCCATGAAGGTGGTAAGTAGAAGCCCCTGATACAACTCAAGGAACAAAACAAGGAACTGGACAAGAAAGATAAAGCTTTCAATCAGAAACAAAAAGAAAAGTAGAAGAAACTTGAAGAGCTAAAAAGCAAAGGATGTGGGAAAGGGCCCCCTGGTCACAGGTGAAATTAAGAAATCTGGCAAAAAATAAGCTGTTCTTTGTGACTGAGGCAATAGTGACCCTTGATTCCATTTCTGTTTAAACATTTGAATTCCCTGCTAGAACATCTCTTGCCACCTATATTTAGATTGAATTGTTATCTTGGAGCCTGTTGTACATTTAAGAATAAACTTTTGTTAAAAAAAAAGACGAAAAAGAAATCCTACAATGGTTTATCTCTTCAGTCCTATCTTAGCTGTGTGGTCAGTAAACCTAGGCCAGCACCCTGCCAGAGCTGCTGTTCAATCTTTGTTATGCCTAGAATTCTATACCACCTGGAATTAAAGCAACTCATTTAGAAAAAGAAAAAAGAAACAATCTATGATGGTTATGGAGAGAGGGGGTATGTGTGTGGGTAATTAATTCATGGACTATAAGGTAAACACATGCTAACATGGGTGACAACAAGAGGGAGGTCAGCAGAAGAAAGATGAAGGTAGTTGGAGGCACAGAGAAGAATGCAATAGTTAATGTGAATAGAGGTAAATACTGTTAATTTTTGGTACATGGAGAGATTGCAACCATGTAATGAAGCAAAGTATATGATCTGTTGAATGTAAAACTGTTAATCTGCTCTATAAACCTTTACTCAATTCACAATATAAACTTGGAAAAAACTGAGAAATTTGGAAGACAAGGGCTACCTGGCCAATAGACTGGAAAAGATCCATATCTGTGTCCAGTCTAAAGAAAGGTGATCCAACAGGATGTAGAAACTATCAAAAATATCAACATCACAGGTAAGTAAAATTTTGCTGACGATAATTCAAAAATGAATTCAATACATTCAGCAGCAGTACATGGACAGGGAACTGTCAGAAATTCCAGATGGATTCAGAAGAGGAGTGGAACAAGGGATGTCATTGTTGATATCAGATGGATCTTGATTCAAAGCAGAAAGCAGAAAAGTTTTACTGACTATATGAATCATAACGATGGATAACATTGTGAAGAATGAGAATTCCAGAACACTTCATTGTGCTCATGTAGAATCTATATTTATGGACTGATGGTGGTGGTGTGCTATAGAGTTGGTTCCAACTTATGGCCACCTGCATAGGATTTCTGAGACTGTAAATCTTTATGGGAACAGAAAGTCTCATCTTTCTCCCGTGGAACAGTTGGTAGTTTCAAACTGCTGACCTTGAGGTTAGCAGCCCGACTCGTATCACTTTGCTACCAGAGCTCCTTTCAATATGGATTACTCCTCAAAACAAAACAGAATTTCACAACGGAACCATGACAAATAGAGAAAAGATAGAAGTTGTCAAGGATTTCATTTTACTTAAATCCTAATCAATGCCTATGGAGGCAGCAGTCAAGAAATCAAACAATGTATTATATTGGGCAAATTTGCTGCAAAAGACCTCTTTAAAATATTAAAATGTAAAGATGTCACCTTGAGGACTAGGGTGCACCTGACCCAAACCATGGGTATCTTCAATTGCTTCATATGCATGGGAAATGAATAAGGAAGTGATATCCTTGAATTATTATGGTATTGGCAAAGAATATTGAATATACCATGGACTTTCTTAGAAGAAGCATAGCCAGAATGTTTCAAAGAATTGAGGATGACGAGACATAATATCACATATTTTAGATATGTTATGAGAGATACCAGTCCACGGAGAAGGATATCACGTATGGTAGGGTGTCAGCAAAAAAAAAAAAGGAAGACCTTCAACAAGATAGACTGACACTGTGGCTTCAAAAATGGGCTCAAACTTAACAATGATTGTGAGGATGGTGTAGGACCAGGCAGTGTTTCATACCAATGGGCATGGGGGCCAGTATGAGTCGGAATCACTCCACAGCACCAAATAACAAAAACCATCTTTACAGAAACAGACTATCACATCATTTTTCCCATAGAATGGCCGGTGGGTCTGAAACGCAAACCTTTCAGTTTGGTACTGTGCCACAAGGGCAGAAGTACCTTATAAAGGCATCAATTTCACTCTACGACAAGTTTTTAAAGCAAGTAAAAAGTAGTTTCTACATGGCTACTTTTCTCAAGATCTTTGATAAAAGTGCAATTCAGTGAGAGCAATGCTGCAAAGGTCATAAGGTAGTTCATGTACCCTTACTTTGAATAATGTGTAACTGGATCACAGGCGTTTTGACTACCTCGAGTGGTGGATGGATATTTTCTCGTTGTTATAGAACACCAACTCTCTATACTTAGCTGTAAATGGATGTCGCTGAGGCAGAAGACTTCATTATTGCAATTAGTTACGTTCCAATCAGGGACCTCTGTTCATCTCTCTGAGCTCTTGTCCTGGGCAAAGAGCCCAGTCGAAAGGCTGGTCCTGCCTGGCCTGGCGCATCTCACCTGCAGCGTCAGGTTGTACAGGGAAGGGGTCAGCGTAGAGCACATAGGGGTCCCTTCACCAGAGGTGGTGAGGGCACCGGGCTGCAGGTTAAGTTCTCGGAGAGGAGTTCTCATAGCTGATCTTCCCTGAGAAAGAACGAAGAAAGGAAGTGTGAGAAAGCCTGGGTTCGGCCAGCTTGCCCTCCCGCCTTTACAAGCCTCAGCTGAGAAAGAGTAGGCTCCGACACGTTTCGCTGAAGCGGCAGGACGAACAACGGATCCCACACACAACCCACCACTCCCAGCCTTGTCCCAGCTTTTCAGAACAGCTGACTCTGCCAGCATTCCCACCCTCATATCCCCAGCCCAGGATTCGCTCTCCCGCTCACCGGCTGGGGCGAAGTCGATGCACTGAGGTTCAGCTTTTTCACCCGCCACATCTTCAGCGCAGAACGGTAGTCGATCACCTTCCAGACCCAAAAGACGCCATGGTCACCCGCCGTCTTTATTTGAAACTGCTCTGCGTTCCTGGATTGGTTGTGGTGCCGAAGTGCGTCAGGCGAAGGCGCCCGCTCCGGGCTGGAGCCAGGCGGGTCGGTGGGCGGGGATTCGCGAAATAATCACGCCCTCTCAGGCCCGGCCTGCCCCCGGATTGGCGGACACTTCTCGCTGGGACCCTCCTTCATAGTCGCGAGTTGGGAGGTCCGGGCCTGAGGCTGGTCAGAGGCTTCTAGGGCCTCATCTCAGAGAAGGCACAGTAAGTAGATGGAGTCAGGGAATCCATCTCTCCTGCTTCTAGTGGCACGGCCCCACACCCAGTCAGAAATGTTACCTCCCACCTCAGTCTTGACCGGAAAGAGTCGGCCTGGGCGCCTGGAGGGAGAGGTGAGGGGAGTGTTTTCATTTTGAAGTTTGGTGGGCACTTACCTAGGTCATATGTCCATGATGGCCTGAAGCAGAATGTAGTCCCTGAGCTGTAATGCATCTTTATACTTTCTGGTACTTTCTCGGGACCTATACAGGGTTGAGCCTCGGAAACCCTGTACAGGGTCACTATGAGTCGGAACCGACTCCACGGCCGCACAACAACAACAACATACAGTGTTGCTATGAGTCAGAACCGACTCCAAGGCACTTAATAACATACAGGGTCGCTGTGAGACGAAACCAACTCCACCACCTCAGGGCCTGCAACAGTAGCGTAGTGGTTACGATTCGGGCTGGGAACCGCACAAGGTCAGCAGTACGAAACTACCAGCTGTTCTGCGGGAGAAAGATGAGGCTTTCTACTCCCGTAAAGATTTACAGCCTCAGAAACCCTGTACAGGGTTGCTATGAGTCAGAACCGACTCCACGGTAGTTAACATACAGAGTCTCTATGAGACGAAACCGACTCCACCACCTCAGGGCCTGCAACAAGTTGTTGTTGTTAGATGCTATCGAGTCGGTACCGACTCATAGTGACTCTGTGCACAACAGAAGGAAACACTGCCAGATCCTGGGCCAACCTCACAATTGGTGCCATGCTTGAGCCCA